GGGGGGGGGACAGTAAATGGATGATGCTCTAGGCTGTAAACTCTCTATGAACCAGTCAGACAGACATATACAAAACTGCTACAATGTACATCAACAATCATACATTATCTGTTATTCAAAGTTTTATATATATTATACTTAACATTTCTGGAAGTAATATGTATCTCATATTATAAGTTTGATCACAGCACTGTTTTGAAAATTCACTCTTCGTGATTCACTGTTTATGGTCAGTCAGTGTAACCTCGTGATACAGGGTGGTCAGTCGGTGTTACCATGGATACGGTAAAAGTCGGTCAATGTTACGATGTTGCTAAAACATACAGTTGGTTACCATGGGACACATGGTTCTGGACAGTACTGTAGCCAGGCTTCAAGATGGCCGCTGTCTACCTGCATCAGAGCGGTGTATGTTGTTAGCTGAAATGAAAATAGAGCAACACTATATTACTCACTATACTAAAATAACCATCTGAAAGCTACCACACCAGTGTTAACATTTTACACTGAACATAATATATTGTACTAAAAAAATGTGTATTAAATAAGGCAACAGATTTAAAACACTAATTAAGTCGATCATAACAATTTATAGCACATTTTAGTTATATTGAGGGCAGAGCATGATACTTTTTTTTATTGAGGACAGGTCTGCAGGATAGGACATGATACTTATTTTATTGAGGACAGGTCTGTAGGATAGGACATGATACTTTATTGAGGACAGGTCTTTAGGATAGGACATGATACTTTATTGAGGACAGGTCTGGAGGATAGGACATGATACTTTCTGGAGAATAGGACATGATACTTTCTGGAGAATAGGACATGATACTTTCTGGAGAATAGGACATGATACTTTCTGGAGGATAGGACATGATACTTACTTTATTGAGGACAAGTCTGGAGGAAATAGGACATGATACTTACTTTATTGAGGACAAGTCTGGGGATATAGGACATGATACTTACTTTATTGAGGACAAGTCTGGGGATATAGGACTTAATACTTACTCTATTGAGGACAAGTCTGGGGATATAGGACTTAATACTTGCTCTATTGAGGACAAGTCTGGGGATATAGGACTTGATACTTACTTTATTGAGGACAAGTCTGGAGGATAGGACATGTAACCTACCTTATTGAGAACACATCTGTAGGATAGGACATGATACTTTATTGAGGACACGTCTAGAGGATAGGACATGATACTTTATTGAGGACAGGTCTGTAGGATAGGACATGATACTTTATTAAGGACAGGACTGGAGAATAGGACATGATACTTACTTTATTAAGAACAGGACTGGAGGATAGGACATGATACTTTATTGAGGACATGTCTAGAGGATAGGACATGATACTTTATTAAGGACAGGACTGGAGGATAGAACATGGTACTTTATTGAGGACAGGTCTGGAGGATAGGACATGATACTTTATTGAGGACAGGTCTCGAGTATAGGACATGATACTTACTTTATTGAGGACAGGTCTGGAGGATAGGACATTATGAAGCCCTTTGATTGACACACCCTGAAATGAAAAACATATCCCTTGTTTATTAACATAAAGACATCTAATATTCGCTGTTATCGTTCCAACAATTGGAAGCCCAAATGCCCTGTATCTTTCAGTTTATATTTAATGGTGTTAGTAAAATTTATCTCATGTTGAAGTGATGAAAACAAGAGACATCTGAGGATGATATATACCCCAGCAGCAAGTGAAGTTTCCGATAAAGTCCAAGTATTGTAATTCAATACTTAATTTGAAAAGAAGGATGGCATTCTGCAAAGTATCTTTTAACCATATTTAACCATACTCCTGGTTATTTTTACCTCTCAGGATCAGAAATCATTTTTGCTAGGTGCATCTTGAAATTTTTGCTTTTATTTCAAAACTTGTCATGTCACTTAAGGAAAAAATAAACAACATAACCAAAACGAAAAAGCATAAATCCCTGAAAAGGGGAGAAAAATGCATGATAAAAGGCAGGAGCTCATCCTCATGTCATAATTATGACGTGTACCAAATTTAATGTGAATCTGACTATATCTTTGCAAGGAGCTCAAGTTGAATGAGCAGAAGGGACATAACTTCATGAAAATAGCAGAGACTGCGTAAAAAATTCATGGTATACCAAATTACCAATATAATAAATTTGCAGTAAAAATAAATCTGGTTAAAACTGTGGAAGGAGTTAACTTCCTTAAAATGGAAGAAAACTACAACCAAACTGCATGTGCACATCCTCATCTAATAGATAGGGTATAATACAGTCTACCAAATTTGAAGTGAATCCACATAACATTGTTGAAGGAGTTGATTTCACAAGCTTTTCTTAATTGAAAAAAGCAAAGGGGCATAACTCCCTAAAAAGAGAAGAAGATGATATGAAAAACGGAGACACACATCCTCATATCCCACTGATAGCAGATACTGTGTATTAAATTTGAAGATAATCCACCGAACAGTGTGGAAGAAGTTTATTTCACAAGACCTGGGACAGATGGATGGACAGAATTCTGTACAACTATTTCCCTCTGATTCGACGACTTGGGGAATAAAACGGTTGCAGCCAATCATAAGTCCATGAAGTTCATATTTGATTATATCTTTCCATCTCAGTAAGCTAAACATAATATACCTTTCAAAAGACTTGAATGGGTGAGAGTAAATTTGGAAGTTGCTTAGAAATCTATATATTTATATATTTAACCTAATTATAACTTTGAATGTGCATGAAGATCGCTTATTCGTACAAACCAGTTAGCCTTCTGCACCATAAAGCTACAGGTCATATCATTTTACTCTACACATCACCGTTCATCAATCAGAAAAAGCCATTAAAAGTTTCTGGTAAAAGCCCATCATATAATGAAATGTCAATTTTACTGGTGATCTGTTGTTATATACATGTATATTACACAAACAGATCACAAGTAAAACAGGCAAGTTCACATTAATGTGTCAATGTTACCAACACTCAGCAAAGACAAGGGATTTATATTATTTGGTTAAATAAAAGAACCAGGCTGCCAACAGAGGCTGCCAACTGATATTAGAATTACACAATGAGTACTATTACTGATTCTTTATTACTGTACAAACTACTGATTGGATCAACAGTGCACATTTCAGTTACTACTGTATATACCATAAAAATCCAATATCATATTACTTCTGAATATATCATAAAGATACAATAATGAATATTATATTACTTCTGTATATACCATAAAGATATAGAGGATATTTAATGGTGTCTTCAGTAATACCAAATATATTTCACGAGTGTGGCTATTTTTTTTATATTTTTCACGAGTGCGCAGCACGAGTGAAAAATATCAAAATATTAGCCACACGAGTGAAATATATTTGGTATTATTGAAGACACCATTAAATGTTCCATTTATTGCATTTTCAAAGCATAAAACATGAAAAAATGTAATATATTTATAAAGGGCGGGAATCAGAAGCGTTATAATTAGCGCCATATTCTAATGACGACATGCTTGACAACAGGGCTGCGAGCTATTTTGAATGGGATACTCAACGCAATTCCGACATTTGTTGCTGTTTTCTGGTATGATTGCTTATAAAACTGTTATAAATTGTATATTTCTGTAAATACTTAAGTGTGTGTACCAAACATTTACCATAACAACCACTTATTCTACCATCGCTTCATTTGAATCTGAACAAAAAAAACATTGCCTTTGAATGCAGCGAATAGAAGATACCATTATGATTGGTCAATGCCAAAAAGTGATATTTTCACAGTGTGAAAATATCACTTTTGATATTTGTCACAGTGTGAAAGATATCATTTTTATCAAGTTGATAGAATCCAATATTTCACTGGCAAAAATGTAATAAAAAATATTATATTACCAGGTACTTCTATATATACCATAAAGATACAATATTGTATTACATAAATATATTTATCCAGTATTTATCTAGTAGATAAATATAGATATGTTAGACATTTGTTAACTTCAGAAATGTTCTTATTTCATCAAATGGACTGGATTCATATAAGAGAGAACATGTCCGCAGTAACTTTTTTTATGTACTGTACCTGTTGTGTCATGTTACCCATACAATGGTGGGCAGGTGTGCGCCTATTGTCGAGGAACAGTGGCGCCTCCCAGTGGTCATAGTTAGTCTCCAGGACGTACCAACCATTGGCCCTCTCCATGTCCCACACATCTACTGCCGAGTCCCGGGCCCGTGTGATGACACACCCCTAGTAGGGTCAGTCAAAATCATAAACAATATTACAACATAATATTTGACAATAATTTAAAGAATGGTTATCAACAGCTTCAACCAATCAACTATTAAAAATCAGTCTAACTTCTGTACCAACTCCATGTTGTAAGTCAGTATATATAAAGAGTGTTTCAATGCTATTTCATTACCAACATTTTAGTACGAAAGGATTTCCAATCTTATAACTTGCTGAAGGGAGTCTTTTTTTGTAGGTTATCCCTTATTACTGCTTAGGATAATCTAATCAATATTTCAATAAATAGTTATTCATTTTCATAATTGTACCAACTTTCAATCATATTTGATTATTTTAAGGAGAATTATAAATTAGTTTAATGTAGCCATTTGTTATAAAGGCAAGTGTTAAGTTCAAGCAGCAGGAAACCATTCCTGACAGGACAATAATTAATTACCAGGAAATAACTCCTGTCAGTAGACACAAATATGGCTAATGATTTAAAAGTAAGTTTATATCAATACATAGATTTACTTTATAAGTTGTAATTTAATTACATATGCTACAATATAGTTGCTATAAATGTGTATGCTTTATTTATGAATGTGAAATATGTAGCTGTAATTATGTATGCAAAATATGTTTGATATTATTATGTATGCAACAAAATGTATGCCATAATGTATGTTACGACATGTATGCTATAATGTATGTTACGACATGTATGCTATAATTATGTATGTTAGACATCTAAGTTATAATTTTGTATGTTCGACATCTATGTTACAATTTTGTTATAATTATGTATGTTACCACATGTATGCTATATTTATGTATGTTACGACATGTGTGCTATAATTATGTATGTTACAACATCTATGTTATAATTATGTATGTTACGACATGTATTCTATAATTATGAATGTTAAGACATGTATGCTATAATTATGTTTGTTACAACATATATTCTATAGTTATGTTTGTTACGACATGTTTTCTATAAGTATGTATGTTACGATATGTATGCTATAATGAAGTTTGGTTTCTATTACTGGATCTTAACATTTCAGGAGACAACAACAATGAGACCTGTTGATAAAGTCCTGAGGTTGCGTTGCCTCCAAGTATAAAATAGGCTGGAGCCAGCATCTCCTCAACAGTCAGACTGTGTTTTGCCTCATTGTAGCTGGATGCTGACTCCATCACATTCCTGGTAAGGAAGCCCATCCACTGACCAGTACGTATTCCAAGGATCCACTCCATCAAACCTGTACAGAAATATAAACACAAAGTCACTGTATTTGTGGCCGGATTGAACAATTTGCTCTGAGCTAGCTATGTAAAAGGCAGGAATCTCAGTGAGTCTATAACTGCCAATGAGTCTATAACTGCATGTCCATGACTGCCAATGAGTCTATAATTGTCTATGATTGCCAATGAGTCTATAACTGTCTATATGACTGCCAATGAGTCTATATGGCTGTCTATGATTGCCAATGGGTCTATGACTGCCAATGAGTCTATAACTGCCAATGAGTCTATAACTGCCAATGAATCTATGACTGCCAATAAGTCTAAACTGTCTATGACTGCCAATGAGTCTATGACTGCCAATGAGTCTATAACTGCCAATGAATCTATGACTGTCTATGACTGCCAATAAGTCTATAACTGTCTATGACTGCCAATGAATCTATAACTGTCTATGACTGCCAATAAGTCTAAAACTGTTTATGACTGCCAATGAGTCTATAACTTTCTATAACAGCCATGAGTCTATGACTGCAAATGAGTCTATGACTGCCAATGAGTCTATGACTGCCAATGAGTCTATGACTGCCAATGAGTCTATGACTGCCAATGAGTCTATGACTGCCAATGAGTCTATGACTGCCAATGAGTCTATGACTGCCAATGAGTCTATGACTGCCAATGAGTCTATGACTGCCAATGAGTCTATGACTGCCAATGAGTCTATGACTGCCAATGAGTCTATGACTGCCAATGAGTCTATGACTGCCAATGAGTCTATAACTTTTTATAACTGCCAATAAGTCTATAACTGTCTATAATTGCCAATGAGTATATGACTGCCAATGAGTCTATAACTGTCTATGACTGCCAATGAGTCTATAACTAGCTATGTCTGCTATAATGAGTCTATAACTGTCTATGACTGCCAATGAGTCTATAACTGTCTATATGACTGCCAATTTGTCTATAACTGTCTATGACTGCCAATGAGTCTATAACTGTCGATGACTGCCAATGAGTCTATAACTTTTTATAACTGCCAATGAGTCTATACCTGTTTATAATTGCCAATGAGTATATGACTGCCAATGAGTCTATAGCTGTCTATGACTGCCAATGAGTATATGACTGCCAATGAGTCTATAACTGTCTATGACTGCCAATGAGTCTATTATAACTATCAAATCTGCCTAATTTCAGGGAGCTTCCAAGTTTGGACTCTTTAAGTTTAACATTTCCAACTATCTATCTTGCATACTGTTCACAATCCTCTTGGAATTATTCCGAACTAGTGAATTTGTTAAACTATTCCTAAATTCTAAGATCTAATGATTTCATCTGAAATAACAACTGACAATATGCTATTATAAAGTCTTATTGTTTCCCTAAGGGGTATATACACACATTCTGTTTATGTTTTTGGTTTTGAGCACATGGTATCGCCATGACGGAAATTTCAAAATTTTGACAAGCATGCAGTTCTTGGTGATTATATTATTGTTGGGAATTTTATAATGTTATTTTAGATTTAGAAAAAAGAATTGGTAAAGACTGAAAGGGACTTGGTTAAAACAGTTTCCTTCAAAAGCTCTCATTAACAAGTGTACTAGACCATGGTACATATTTTTAAAAATAGCACCATCCGATACATGGAGGATAAAACCAGCATGTGACGACTGAAGACAACATATCTGTTGGAGCAAGTATAACCTGCAAGCTTCAGGGAATGGATGTAAATTATAATCAGCCATCACCAGTTCCTCCATCACATAAAGATTTACAACAAAGACAGTGTGACATTACCCATGTAACATTACATAATTTATCACTTTAAATGATTTAAGGTAATAGGATTGTGTCACCATTTCTCAGTAGAATTTCTTCAAATTTTGTAGTTATATTGTTTTCAAGTGAAGAAAATTTTCTGCCACAAAAAAAGATATGGGTTGTCAGAATTTTAAGGATTTTAAATGGAAATTTATGTAAAAAGTAGTGAATTTTGAAAAAAATAATGAAAGACACAATATTTTTACAAAATAATGTCAATAAAAATGATACTGACATATATTAGTATTGCATTAGTGTATATCAATTTAATAAATGCTGAAATTGTGTAAAAATGAATTCTCTATAGACGATATAAAAATTGACATTTTATAATAAAACCACACACACATAGTAATTGCAGGCAAGAATTATCGTTCTTGAAAAACTTCACAGTAGTGAAATAGGTAGCCGGTGTCCTGAAATACAGAAAAATTGACACATGTGACTCATTGATAAAAAAATCCTGAATTAATGCCTGGATTGCTTTGAAATACTTTAATATTGAGAGAACTCACTGTTTTGTCAATAATAAACATACAATATTCATCAGTTTAATATTAAAAATTAGAATTTGCGGAAATTGTGATACTGTCTCCCTACATTGGATTTTCAACAAGGGATGTACTTCCTGTTTCCGTTTATCAATACACTCCAATGACCTTAAATGCAAGCCATGAGCTGGGAGTAATGAAACCTCTATCAGTTTATGTATTGATATAATTACCTATATAGCCACCATCTTTATTGAACCGTTCATTCATAGTCAATGTAAATTTTCCCTGAAATCAAAAGATGACATGTTCAATTTCTGATTAAAATAATTTACTTACAGTTGACAGAATCTGATTTAATACTTCACACTTGTTTGAAATGTACAAATAAATAGTTTAAAACTTCACTCTTGTTTGAAATGTACAAATAAATAGTCTAAAACTTCACTCGTTTGAAATGTACAAACAAAAGGCCCAGAGGGCCTGTATCGCTCACCTGGATATCTAAGCAATCATGGCAAAATATTCTCCAAATGAGATCCAACGGAATATGCCAGACCTCAAGGCCAATCCTTGTAGCATATCTGTATTTGATTTTTTATGCCCAGCAATTTTATGTAAGGTTATGGGGTGGGGATCTCAACTGTTTCCAAGCTGTGACTCAGAAACTAGGTCCCTAGGGTTGTGGCCAGACCCCAGGATCAATTCTAATATCATGACTGCATTTGTCTCTTTTTGCCCAGCATTTGTATATTAAGTTTTGGGGTGGGGATCTCAACCGTTTCAAAGTTATGACCCAGGGGTTATGTCTGCAAGGGTGGGGCAGACCCTTGGGTCAATTCTAATATCATGACTGCATTCGTCTCTTTATGCCCAACAATTGTATATATAGTTTTGGGGTGGGGATCTTAACCGTTTCAAAGTTATGACCCAGGGGTTAAGTCTCCAAGGGTGGGGCCAGACCCTAGGGCCATGCTTGAAGCAAATGTGCATTCCTCTCGTTATACTCAACAATTGTATATATGGTTATATGGTGGAGATCTCAACCATTTCCCACCCCTTAACCCGGGGGGTCAGCCCCACCATTTGTACAATTTTGAATCCCTGCCTCCCATGAATGCTTCCGACCTAATATGATCAATATCCATGGTATAGTTTTACAGAAGAAGTCGTTTAAAGCAATATAGCCGAATTGCCCCCTTTTGGCCCAGCCCTCAGCCCCACCATTTGTACAATTTTGAATCCCCACCACCTAGGGATGCTTTCAGTCAAATATGGTTGATATCTATCTCTTAGTTCCAGAGAAGAAGTCGCTTAAAGCAATATAGCTAAATAACCCTTTTTTGCCCCGCCCCTCAGCCCCCACGGGGATCAGCCCCACCATTTGTACAATTTTGAATCCCTGCCTCCCACGAATGCTTTTGATTAAATATGATTGATATCCAGTGCATAGTTCTACAGAAGAAGTCGTTTGTAGCAATATAGTCAAAATGCCCCTTTTGGCCCCGCCCCTCAGCCCCCTGGGGGGTCAGTCCCATCATTTGTACAATTTTGAATCCCCACCACCTAGGGATGCTTCCAGTCAAATATGGTTAAATTCCAATAAGTAGTTAAGAAGAAGTCGTTTAAAGAAATTGTTGACGGACGGACGACGGACGACGGAAGACGGACGGACGGACGCCACGGTATGGCATAAGCTCACCTTGGTCCTTTGGACCCGGTGAGGTAATAAATAGTCTAAAACTTCACACTTGTTTGAAATGTACAAATAAATAGTCTAAAACTTCACTCTTGTTTGAAATGTACAAATAAATAGTCTAAAACTTCACACCTGTTTGAAATGTACAAATAAATAGTCTAAAATTGCAAAAACACTTTGTTTACAATGTACCTTGTCGATCCCGACACTTCCATTGAAAAACAAAATGGCAATGAAGTTCCTCATTTTTGATAATATAGCTGTTCTTATAAACAAAACAAAAGACAGAGTCAGAGCATTCAGTCATTTACGGGAACATCAGCCAACTAATTTCTATTAAAGTATATATTTAAAAAGTATATATATTTAGGATGTCCTCAATATACAGTGTACCTACCGAGTAAGGTTACAAACGCTATTCAACTATTTGTAAGAGGAGAGATATAAGAAAGCATCACTTTACTTACTGGTTTTATAGCTGTAAGAATCCCAATGTATCCAGCAAAGCTGACAGATTTGAAGACAGTTTTCCCTCCTTTTTGAAAATCCACAATGCTCACCATTGGTCTCAGCAGCTCTGTCACTGCCCATGTGTTGTTCTTGATGTCCCATCTACAATAACATGTCAGTTAAAATATTAGATTTCCATTTAAAAAACTATGACTGTCCTATACTTATCAATTATCCCTAATTCTTCGTTTCCTCTAGTGAATTCATTTACCTTTTATTAACTATTTGGTTCCTTACATGTAGGTACTAGCTATATATATCGTCCTTACAAAATAATGTTCAACAAAGCAAAATCAGGGATAAGGTACAGAGGCAGATGTAAGTTGACCTTACATTACATGACCTTGAAGTCATGTGTGATGAATAGAGGTACTAGTAGTAACATACCGAGTATGTGGTGAATAGAGGAACTAGAAGTAACATACCGGGTATGTGGCGAATAGAGGTACTAGAAGTAACATACCGGGTATGTGGTCAATATAGGTACTAGAAGTAACATACCGAGTATGTGGTGAATAGCGGTACTAGTAGTAACATACCGGGAATGTGGTGAATAGAGGTACTAATAGTAACATACCGGGTATGTGGCGAATAGAGGTACTAGAAGTAACATACCGAGTATGTGGCGAATAGAGGTACTAGAAGTAACATACCGAGTATGTGGTGAATAGAGGTACTAGTAGTAACATACCGGGTATGTGATGAATAGAGGTACTAGTAGTAACATACCGGGTATGTGGTGAATATAGGTACTAGAAGTAACATACCGAGTATGTGGTGAATAGAGGTACTAGAAGTAACATACCGGGTATGTGGTGAATAGAGGTACTAGTAGTAACATACCGGGTATGTGGTGAATAGAGGTACTAGTAGTAACATACCGGGTATGTGGTGAATAGAGGTACTAGTAGTAACATACCGGGTATGTGGTGAATAGAGGTACTAGTAGTAACATACCGGGTATGTGGTGAATAGAGGTACTAGTAGTAACATACCGGGTATGTGGTGAATAGAGGTACTAGTAGTAACATACCGGGTATGTGGTGAATAGAGGTACTAGTAGTAACATACCGGGTATGTGGTGAATAGAGGTACTAGTAGTAACATACCGGGTATGTGGTGAATAGAGGTACTAGTAGTAACATACCGGGTATGTGGTGAATAGAGGTACTAGTAGTAACATACCGGGTATGTGGTGAATAGAGGTACTAGTAGTAACATACCGGGTATGTGGTGAATAGAGGTACTAGTAGTAACATACCGGGTATGTGGTGAATAGAGGTACTAGTAGTAACATACCGGGTATGTGGTGAATAGAGGTACTAGTAGTAACATACCGGGTATGTGGTGAATAGAGGTACTAGTAGTAACATACCGGGTATGTGGTGAATAGAGGTACTAGTAGTAACATACCGGGTATGTGGTGAATAGAGGTACTAGTAGTAACATACCGGGTATGTGGTGAATAGAGGTACTAGTAGTAACATACCGGGTATGTGGTGAATAGAGGTACTAGTAGTAACATACCGGGTATGTGGTGAATAGAGGTACTAGTAGTAACATACCGGGTATGTGGTGAATAGAGGTACTAGTAGTAACATACCGGGTATGTGGTGAATAGAGGTACTAGTAGTAACATACCGGGTATGTGGTGAATAGAGGTACTAGTAGTAACATACCGGGTATGTGGTGAATAGAGGTACTAGTAGTAACATACCGGGTATGTGGTGAATAGAGGTACTAGTAGTAACATACCGGGTATGTGGTGAATAGAGGTACTAGTAGTAACATACCGGGTATGTGGTGAATAGAGGTACTAGTAGTAACATACCGGGTATGTGGTGAATAGAGGTACTAGTAGTAACATACCGGGTATGTGGTGAATAGAGGTACTAGTAGTAACATACCGGGTATGTGGTGAATAGAGGTACTAGTAGTAACATACCGGGTATGTGGTGAATAGAGGTACTAGTAGTAACATACCGGGTATGTGGTGAATAGAGGTACTAGTAGTAACATACCGGGTATGTGGTGAATAGAGGTACTAGTAGTAACATACCGGGTATGTGGTGAATAGAGGTACTAGTAGTAACATACCGGGTATGTGGTGAATAGAGGTACTAGTAGTAACATACCGGGTATGTGGTGAATAGAGGTACTAGTAGTAACATACCGGGTATGTGGTGAATAGAGGTACTAGTAGTAACATACCGGGTATGTGGTGAATAGAGGTACTAGTAGTAACATACCGGGTATGTGGTGAATAGAGGTACTAGTAGTAACATACCGGGTATGTGGTGAATAGAGGTACTAGTAGTAACATACCGGGTATGTGGTGAATAGAGGTACTAGTAGTAACATACCGGGTATGTGGTGAATAGAGGTACTAGAAGTAACATACCGGGTATGTGGTGTAGGAATGCTGAGGCACAGCTATGCAAACATTATTTTAATTTACAACAATTATGAATCAATTTCTTTCAACTTATATCAATCACTCTTGTTGGCCCGGATGTAAGCGGACAGAGGGTCTTAATGTGGGAGGAAACCAAAGTAGCCAGAAGACAAGTATATCACTGCGCCAGCCGTCCACCCCCAAGGCACATGTACTGTACATTTACATATATACTAGATGTAGGCAATACAGGAACTAACAGATATGTTTAACAAGAGGGCCGCGCTGAGCGGAACAATATACGCCCGTCGAATGCCATATAGTGTTATATACTTTCTTTCATTGAAATAAGATCTGCATCATTCAAGGAGTGGTTAGCTGACATGCTATAAAAATGTAGGAGAAAATCTCTGGATAAAAAAAATCAAATACTGAAATGAACAAAGGGCAATAACTTTTGGAAAAATTGTCGAATCAAAATTCTTTTAAGGGAGACACAACTTTATATCATGATTATAATGTATACCAAGTTTCAAAGAGATCTGTTGAAAAGTGTAGGAGGAGATTGCCGGACAAAAATCAAATACTGAAATGAACAAAGGGCAATAACTTTTGGAAAAATTGTTAAATCAAAATTCTTTTAAGGGAGACACAATTACATATAATGATTATGATGTATATCAAGTTTCAAAGAGATTGGTTGAAAAATGTAGGAGGAGATTGCCGGACAAACAAAAGTTTACACCGGCCGGCCGGACAACGCCATACCATAATACTCCCGTCAAATTTGACGGGCGTATAAAAACAGATATAATAAATGTCATATTGCATAGATCCAGGTTACAAATATGTTCATAATATTTGACACAAAGGGAGGTTTGGTTTCACAGATAAAAAGGATAACACAGGGATAGTATTCACACACAGTATCTGTTACCCTGGATATATACAAACAAATGTGTATGTATCGTGGTTATCAAACACATGCACTCATATCTTGAAACATATTTACCCAAGAAATAATCCAAAGTCAAGGTTTCTGGCATGGTAGAGTTTACCTGAAAAGTTCAGGAAATAAAAAGAAAGCATCACTATTTTTTAGCATTATAATTATGCTTTCCTACAAAACTGATATAATTAAAAAATTCAAACCTTGACATCTCTAACAAACATTAATATTTAAGTTTTAAAAATTACTGCCTTTATTTTCTAATCTATAAAAGAGATTAGTGAAAATATAACTCAAAGGTATTGAAAACTAAATCACTTGAACAAATCAATGCAACTATTTACCAGCTGTATCAGTAATCGTTGTAATGACTTAATGTAGTCCAACCTTTTATTTCTTATTCATAACTAAGTACAGTGTAGCCCTTCTCAAAGTTTACAAATTTCAGTAATTATATAAAACAAATAATCCAAGGATAAAGGTAAAAGGTATCGAACGATATAGATAAAAGTTACCTAACGAAATAGGTAAAAGTTATCTATCAATATAGGTAAAAGTTACCTAACGATATAGGTAAAAGTTATCTAACGATATTGGTAAAAGTTATCTAACGATGTTGGTAAAAGTTATCTAACGATGTTGGTAAAAGTTATCTAACAATATAGGTAAAGTTATCTAACGATATAGGTAAAAGTTACCTAACGAAATAGGTAAAAGTTACCTAACGATATAGGTAAAAGTTATCTAACGAAATAGGTAAAAGTTACCTAGCGAAATAGGTAAAAGTTATCTAACGTTATAGGTAAAAGTTACCTAACGTAATAGGTAAAAGTTATCTAACGATATAGGTAAAAGTTATCTAAGACAGAAAGTTTCAACTCACCAGTAGAATCCTGTGCCACTATGGATGTGCAGACCGTGAAAAACTCATAGAAGACATTGAAGAATACAATCTCTCCTACAAAACCAGTTTATATTAACAAAACTGAACAGTTGAACCCAGTCAGGCAATAGCGTATCTAATGACTATAACTAGTGGAAACGACTTATTTAACATATATAAAACACCTGCTCATATATGGTATATGTATTTATAACAGCCTCACTTTTAAGAAATTATATATAAATGTATATAAATAAAACATCAAAAAAGTCACCATTGTACTTCAATTATAACATTAGTTCTGACGGTAAACAGTCTGTACTCATAAAAACAAATATGATTGTCATGTTTTATAGAAAACACTCTCCAGCTTTATCATACCAAAATGTGTGGATCATATGATGTTTGATGTATGAGAACTTACCCAGTTCCAGACCGGTGACATTTGCTATCCCTCTCATTTCATCGGCAAACGGCTGTGGTAAGGTCTTGTCAAAGGCAGGCTGTATCATGGGGATCACAGAGTATTAAAATGGAAGACGTAATTGGATGAGGCTAGTTCGGACATGGATATAACATACCATAAAATTTGGCAATATTGGACATCATGACTTGTACGAAAATACAAGCAATATTGACTGACCTATAACTATTTCAGCATGACTACCAGAATGACTGAATGTGTTTTTCTGTAGAAAACACAGTAAGATTATATTGTTACTACAATAGGATCACACATACACCATTATGCTTTATTGCTTAAAAAACACTTGACACTTTTTCCCCCATTTCCATATGAATGTATCCCTTGCAGTTTATGAAGTCTCAAAGAGTTTGATGCTTGTATCATTTAATGCAATGGAAAAGCCATGTATTTAATTAAAGCACATAATAATGTCTTTGAATAACAAAATAATTTCCAATCATCAGGTCATAAGAAATAATAATACTAATCCCTTTCTCTATGATCTTAATTGAAAAGCAGATGATTTAAAAAACAAAACATCATATGAGTTTGATCATTATATAAATTACACTAGGGCCATTTATTAAAGTTCATTGTTTATGGAGAGTACAAACGGACTTCTCTCCCTGATCAAATATTTTTACAAAAAGAAAATTTGAAAGTCACCCCCTCTTTATCGATGAAGTCAGCAATAGCTTGGGATCCATTGAATATGTCGCTGATCAATGACTTGAACTCATCAAGTAACATCTTGATCTGTAATATATGAAATATGTCACCCGTGTATAATTAGAACTTGGTATCTTCCTGAGTCCATCTCAATTAAGGAAATGTATTTGATTTAACTTGGGACATATCACACAGCTAATCAGTTCAGTACTATTACCGGTATAATCATTTATTTAAGCAATGAATGTTTTAGCAAATGTTATGGTTCTATAACACACATCGCTATTGATGACAAACTTGATACATCCCGGTAGGGCTTTATTGCTAATTACACCTCCAAGATTGAAATATATGAATACTGGTATATGTAAATCTTTTCTATCTTATCTTTGGCATCAACCGGAAGTGAAGTGGACAGAATGAAGAAGCGCCTCAAGAAGCGACTGACGCTTACAACGGTGTCACAATCAATGAACCAATGAACCGATTAATTGATCAAATTTATCAATCTGGGTTTTTCAATTTCTATGAAGAGTTTGACTTCAAGTGATATATGGATAGCTTTTTTTATTGATGCTTCTTAAAATTAAACCAACCTGATGTCCTTTGTTCTTTACAACAGGCGTCCATCTTTGGGCAGCTGGGAGGTCAAGATTAACCACATACGATGGTACTTTATGGCTACAGATTTGGAAATGAAATTTATGATCAGAAATTCATAACAAAAAGGTGTTGGAACATAATACTGAATATACCACTTGATTTGATGAGTTAAACATCTTTTTGAACTCAGGACTTGACTGGTATTTAAAACAGATTTTCCCCTTTGTAAAAGTTCAAGCATAATGGGAGTTATACTTGTAGAAGTACATTATGTAGCAGTAGGTTACATGTATCAATACAATATAATCTAGATCATTCTAGTTCACAATGATTACAGTACACAACATCTGTCAGCAGGGATGATTTTGTAAACAGCATATTATATAATTTGCCCTATCAAAATGTAGTTTTGTAATGTCTGGTGAAAATACTGACAACCGTTTTTAAATATACATTTTGCACCCATCTATTGCTAATATGTTTTAGACATCACAATATCTGTATGCATAATCAAAGTATATATATACACAAATACATTATGTGTGCTTCCAACAATTATTAGATGAATCCAAATGATGAGATTGATTAAAATAAATAAATCAAGAGTTTTTTGTTATTCTTGTTATGAAAAGCTTGATATTAAGGCTTTACTTTTGTTTACCTTGCTGGTGGTGGATATGCATTATTGACACACTCTTCCATAAACTGAAATAGGTAAGTAAATCACATTTAATTGAGGACAATAAAACTTGATCAAGGATTTACCACCTACAGAATATACAGAACTTATATAACACCACACCCTGATGTTAAAGTCATGAGCATGTGCAAGTGAGAGTTGTTAAACAATTGTATATTTGCTTAAAATGGGATTTATGCGTCGGACATTCTTGCTACCACTGGTTGAGACTGTCATACAGGCATTTGCTTAAATTGAGTAATTTTCTTTCGCTTTATCAAATTTACTTCCATCGTTACGTAACACTGTTTTGGATTGGATATCAAATCTCTATTGTGATTTTAGGTAAGGTAAAGTCAGGGGTTTAGGATGTTTTGGCAGTCTTTGTTAACACTGCATGGTTGTGGCTCGATCCACACTTCTCGCTCTACTTTTCTATCTTTCTCTGTATTATTTGAGGGGCTAGGTCTTGGGTAAAGTATGGATATTTTAGTAATTACTGTGGGGCTAGGATACAGTAACTCAACCAGCAGTTATAATTAAGGGCCTATGTTTTGTGTTATCTACTGTTGTCATTTGTATTGAAAAGTAACATGTTAACTATCTTAGGCAGCATCTGCAGGTGCAATAAATTGTAGCTACCCTGTACTGTATATATATATATCTTTAATTTGGTTTATTTCAATTATCTAAACTATACGGAACCTTCCCCCCTTGACGGAACCAGTTCGAACATGGATTGACCTTTGACAAATAACATTTATAGTACAGTCCCAATTTACACTAGCTGATTTTACTGCAGATACAATGTAGAACAAGTTTATTACCCAGTGGCGGATCCAGAGTAGTTTTTTGGGCTTCAGGCCCCCCCCCAGCCTGAGAAGTTTCTTTAAAAATCATGTATTTTCACCATTTTTCTCAATTTTGCCCCACCTGGAACCCCCCNATTATCGTGGGTTAATTTCCGACCTCTGTTTATTTCGGTGACGGTTGTTTGTTTCGGCAAACGTTATTTATTTTAACCGTTTTCTGATTTATATTACGGGTGAAATTCTTTCTACGTTGCGTACTTTGTACTATCGTATTTTATCCTTATTTTCCCGTTTTATCTGCTTGTAAATTTTTTGTTTACGTTCGCTTTGGAGGGTATGTCTCGGTCGGGACAGCGACGAGGTAGTGCTCATGGGTGTTCCCATTTCTTTGTGGAACGGGACCCTCATGATGCCTGTCCCAGGTGTCGTCCTTGCAGTGAGGTTTCGCCTTGTGAACTTTGTTCACAGTCAAAATCTCAGGGCAAGGACTTCATTGTTCCAAAGCTACCCTCAACTTACCGTAAGACAGATTCGTCTGTTTCTTCCGGTAAGCGAGGGAAGCAGAGAGGTAGGGGTCGTGCCACCAGCTCTCTGGGGTCTGGTGGTACTGTCTCTGTTCCTGTCTCGGGGGGTCTTGCTTCGGCAAGTCCCTCTCGTGAGCAGGGGGTGGCCCTTCCTGTCCAGGAACTCCCTGGAGTAGGGGAGGGGCAGCCTGACCCTGGCTTGGCACAGCCAAGGGTCGAATTGGCCGGGAACGCCCGTAAGCTTTCGCGCTTGCCTTCGGGTAGGGACTACCGGCCGCCGGTCACTGACTCTGTCAGTGATCAGTGGCGGATCCAGAGGGGTTTTTTGGGCTTCAGGAAACCCCCCCACTCTGAGAATTTTCTTTAAAAATCATGTATTTTCACCATTTTCTTCAATTTTTCCCCACATGGAAACCCCCCCAGGAAATTTGGAAACCCCCCCAGACAGGTCTCTGGATCCGCCACTGTTACCGGTAGGCAGAATATTGCATACAAATCTTACATACGGTAAGTGCAATACTTATTCTCAAATTGATATTAATCAGTATGTTATAAGATCATGTTTCTTCGGTTAACATTCTATTTGTTGCTTCCCTAAAACATTAAAAATAGTGGGGTAACAGACATTTCGGTACAAAGGTACCGAAACATCTTTTTGAAGTACCGAAACTACCGGTAACCGAAACGACTGTACCCCTTTCCATCTGTCGATAGCGAAGTGTTTACAAATGTAGGTACTTCCTATAAGTTATTTATAAGATTTTCGGCCTTGAGACCGACTTTTTAACTTTGTGATTTACTTGATTTTTGTGTCTTGTGTGTTGCTGATTTTATCTTTTAGGATTTTTCAGCATTTTGTGTCTTTAAAAGAAAGTACCGAAACATGCATCTCAGATACGTACAGAAACAATGAAACTAGTTAACCGGATACCGAAACGTCAAACACTGTCATCCGCATGATAGTTCAAGAGAACAATAAGCTAAATTATGCAGTCATCATTCGTTTTTAAGAAAATCTCACCGGTGGAATCTGACAATTTGTAAGACTGATGACACCAACAAAACACATCAATAATCGCTGCATCTTGATCTTGTGACTATGCCAAACAATCGACATGTGACTTATATCGCAGTCGGTTAAACGTTTGGTTTCGACAATTAGACTAAAGCGTCTGCTTGATGCGAGATACCGGAAAGTTTTAATGTATTTGTTGTGCAAGCAGTGAAGAAGATGGCAGGCGTAAAGGTATCCAGCATGTTTATATATTTATAGATACTTACTTTATGATTTCCAGTAGTTTAGAATGATGCATTATGTAAAGAGAGAAGTTAGTATTGTAAATCACCTTCATTTTTGTGTAAGTATTATGAAAAAAGACAAATGACACTTACTTTCACTTTATTTGGAAACGTGGCACAACCCGGATCTGAGTCTGACTGTCTTCAAGATGACTTCGATATACACAAAGTAGCATTGCAAATTTTTGAATTAAAATACTGTATTTCAACTTTTTAACATGCAAATATCTACACAGTCTTGTCAGACTTTTGATGTGATAAAGAGTAAAAGACTCCCATAAACAACATAACAAGTACAGCCAACAAGACCTTACAGTAGGCTTCCTACGTCGTAACCTTAAAATCCCATCATTAAGGATCAAGGAAAAAGCATACTTTGCCTTAGTATATGTACGTAAAACCTCTGGTAGAATATGCCAGCACTGTATGGGACCCCTACACAGTCAGCGACACAACTAAAGTGGAGTCTGTCCAGAGGAGGGCAGCAAGATATGTGGCAAACAATTTACAAACACAGACTTTTTTCAGTATAGGTGACCATGTGGTGACATTAATTTCAAGGTATGAACGTACCAAAGATTTATAAAGGTTGAGAAACATTTCCTTATTGATACAACTGAAAGTTTTAAATATGAGACCTACATTTCTATTAGCTTTAGATATATATATACTGCAGTGTTCACTTGCTCACTAAATTTCAGGTTTTGGTCAATAATTACACAGAGATCTCTTTCGCTTGTCACTAGATCTATTCAATGTCTCTCCCCTTGCTGGGTGATCTCAAAAGATAGGACATCAGCAATTTTACAATTTGTCATTCTTTCAAAATATTCCGTAGAACATGTAGTTGACTTACTTATGTCAGGGAAATGTGGAAGTGATATGGCCTGAAATTCCAATCTTTGAGAATGATAACTGCACATCAATATATTCATTTTATATATATATATATATAGCCAACATTAAAATGAGTAAAAAAAGAGGCGTTAAGGGATTTTTAATGATGTAACAAACTCATATGTACCTAGCTGATTTGTATTTAGGTTGCCAGCCTATGGGTACATTTGTAATGGTTCACAGTTCTACTGATCTCATGTTTAAAAGTGTAACAGGACCGGAAATATACATAGCCAATCCAGGGTTCAAATCCAGGACCTTCCAAACTCTAGACGGACCCTTTACCAATTGAGCTACCTTGGCACTGATAATCGACCCAATATAGTTCTGCTACAAAAGGATTACATCACCATATTTAACCAGTGATTCATGTATTTTTTCTAAGAATTCAGAAATTCAGCATACCTAAAAATAGTTTTGCATCATTTTATTGAAAGCCGCATGAAGGTCAGGTCTGTGTGTGTTTAATCACATATCTTCCAACATATGGTGAACATATTGATTATTTTGTGCTTAAAAATACACAATATATTTTATGCGTGTTCAATTTACCATAGGATTAATATGATACTCAGAAAGCTATTGGCTGTCAGTGTGCAACATATGGTTCATGATTCAGTATCTAATCGCAGTTTTTTTCTTTGATAACAGCAATTTTATGTGATAAAGATGCTGTTTGTTTTCTCATACAAGTGCCCGGACTGATGATTATTTATGATAAACTCCTCTAACTCAGGCCACTGATAACTGATTATATATGCTGTGATTATTCCTCCAACAAGATATGGGCAAAGGGAGACAATCCTTGTAACAAATTTTGGGAACATAACATTTGCCTGCAGTAGTGATTTAAACAATATTTTTCCTAATTTTAATTCATTAAGATGTTATTTAACAATCCTGAGTAAAAAAAGTACAAATGCATTTTTTTGTAATATTTTTTTTTTTATTGAATTTGTTACTTAGAAAGGTTTTAATATTAAATGACACATAATTTTGAACTTCAGTTGGAAAGTTCTGCTTTTGTTGAAGCCTTCATTTAATTTCTACATATGTTATTTCGAAAGATGGCATATTGTCAAAAGGATTAGGCAACAGACACAGCCTATGTAATCCCTCTCCAATTATTGAAACCTTGAAGCTTAGATAGATATCAGAATCATTTACAATGAAATCAAAGCACCAGAGACATGTATTACACCATTTTTGTGTGTATAAAGCTCCGCTGTGCTGTGCTCCTGTTGTCTGAATTGTTCATACATATATATACATTATTACGAGTGTTTTGTTATCTATTTATAGATATAATGGTTATGTAACTGATTTGATGGTATATAAAGTCAACCCCTGTAACAATTGTTTTTAAGTTTCCCTAAAAGTAATCCTTCTTATTTTGTAACAAAATGCACCAAAATGTGGAAGTTTTGAGAGGAAAAACATCAAAAAAGTAAAATATCCATTATACCATTTAAAATCAGAGTTTAGTGAGTTGTGGTTAACATTACTGGAGAGTATACGTAACATGCATTTATTCCAAATTTAAGGAAATTAAAGTACCTTTTTGATATTATTTGTCAGTGAGTCCTCCAAAACCGTCCGTCTCCTTAAACAATTCTTATTATCGCTATTTGTCAGGAAGGACTTGAGAGACCTTTCTCAAATTTGATATGTAGGTTCCCCTCGGTCTGTAGTTGTACATGTTTACTTTTGATACTGATTGGATATAAACAAAAAGGCTGACAGGCAATCTTCTTCGAATTTGACATTGAAGGTTTGTTATCGCAATTTTACGGGGAAAAATGGAGGGATCTTTCTAAAATTTGGCATGTGGGTTTCCCTGGGTCCCTAGTTGTGCATGTTTACTTTTGAGACTGATCGCATAAACAAAATGGCCAACAGGCAGCCATTTTGGATTTTTATTGTGAAGGTTTGTTAGTGCTATTTCTCAGGAAGTAGTTGAGGGATCTTTCTCAGATTTGATATGTAGGCTCCCCTTAATCCTTAGTTGTGCATGTTTATTTTGAGATTGATCATAAACTTCTTTCTCATATTTCACATTAGGTATTGTAACAGTAAATGTGTGAAACAACAAACTCACTTTGAAGATTGTTTTTTATACACAGCAGTATTAAGTTAAGTTACCATAAGGTGCATTTACCCATGTTAACATGACTCGATCACACAGATAAAAGAAGAGAAAAGATCAATCTGACAAAGAACTAGTGAAGATGGTACAATGGTGGGTGCCAAGATCTCACTCTTGTATAATATGTCAGAGTAAAACATTGATCTAGCATCAAATCCTGTCAGGGGTGAAAAGTCATTACCTGGTAATGGCACAAATTTTCTACTTATGAAAAAATGCTCTGGACTATCTTTGAGATAGTTGTACATGTACATGAATATTCATTTCTACTATAACAGCTTGACATGAATATTCATGTACATGTACAACTATCACAAAGATATATAGTCCTGAGCGATATTTAAGTCCAGTATTTTTCACCTTGAAACTTCATTGCAGGATGATTACCTGCACTCAAAAGACAAACAATGTTGATATTAGGGTCAAAAGTCAAGGTCACAATGATTTGTTTTGAGCATTCAAAGAGCTCAAGATATAGTGTTCTTTTAAAGAATACCAATCTAAGTAACCGTTGATGTGTTGAAGAAAAAAAGGGCTTTGTAGAGCAGATAATTTGTTTAAAACAAATGATTATATATGTGCACCATATCTCTGGGCTAAATGAGCCGCTGGTTAAGAGACTTATTTATGGAATTACTTGCTCACCATAAGATGTAAAGTAAACCATACTGTACCTGTTTGAACTTGTCCCTGTATTTGGGAACTTGTGGTGAATTTGGGTATAGGTTACGAGAGACAAGACTAATAAATCTTCATCATATTGATGTCATCTGACAATAATGATAATTATAAAATAGTAATAAATTTATGTACAGTAGTTTTGACCCCTGATCTTGGTTGTGTTTTTCAGACACACACATTCTTTGTGGATATGACCTGTGGGGGTTGTTCCGGTGCAGCCATCAGGGTGCTGACAAAAGACAACTTAGGTAAGTACATTAAAAGGCGATCAATACCATACTCTGGCTTCAACAATTGGCACAGGCCATGGCATATATATATTGAACTGCATTAATGGCTACAGCGTCCCTCTAGAGTTTAGATGTCCTGGTGTGACCGAGTTCAAATCCCAGTCTGGTCAGGTGTTTTTCATCTCCAAAGTGTTACAAAATTAATGGTAAGGGTTTATAAAGTGAACTGTGTTGACTTCAGCAGTATAAAGTTTTTATTCTGTATTCCAGTGGATAAAGGCAACATCGAAATTGACCTGGATAAGAAGACAGTTGTGGTTAAGTCTGAACTTGAAGCCAAGGAGCTGGAAGATGTTCTCAAAAAGACTGGGAAAGACGTGAAATTCATTAGTACAGCGTAACTTATAAAAGTGAGATTTTACTGATCTTACAACAATATTTTCATAACATAAATCTTCCTGTAATTAATAGTCTCCTGTAATAGGCTTCAGATTTAGGATTATGATATAGGATTTAGCAAAACTGTTTCAGTATTTGCCTAAAGTTGGTTTTCAAGCCTTGTTATTATATATCTATTCCTACAAGACCAACTGACCACAAGGTTACTTAAAAGATATTTTTATTTATACTATTTTGAACTCTAATATAACATTACAGGGAATTACACAGAATAATATTAATGCCAACAAACCTCCACAAATTAACAAAACTGAAGAACAGTGGGACATGCATGTCACTCCAACATGTCTTGTTAACAAACTTGTGTGTTTCTATACTTATACAGTTTTGTAATAATAATTGTTCAATTTGATTTGTGGGCATGCTGGTGTCATACTAACACAGGGTAAATTATATAGCATGTTTGGTATCTTCAGTCACTCATGATGCCTGTTGCTGATAGGATGTCCTTTTTTGTTTTGCAGATTTTGGAAGATGTATATATCCAGTAAATATCACCGAACAAACAACCTATAACTGAGGACATCGTGTCTTAGTATACAGCCATTTTGGACAAGACATTGTAGGGGTTCAGCTTATTAGTTGGTTATGGCTATATTTAGAACTTTTTAATCTTTCTGTATTGCATATCATTTGAGGTAACTCCCAGGTGCCATTTTTATATTGGACCATTTTGATGTCAAGTTCCTAAAATGTTACCCCATCTTTTATTATTGTTATCAATTGAATTGTATCAGACTGATGTACGTAATGTACTAATGTTTGCGTTTCTGTTCATGGAATAATTTAGTCTTTCCTTCATTGATACAGTCAAACAGTTAGAAAATGCTTTGTCCGTTATACTAGTCAGCAGGAAGGAACTATATTAGACAATGGGGAAGGGAGGGACGGAAACCTTGTACAGCATATTAACACAACAGGGAAGGGAGTACCCAAAATCTTACCCAGTATACTAGACAACAGGGAAGGGAGTACCCCAAATGTTATCCAGTATACTATATATATATATATATATATATATATATGGGGCAAAGAAGTAATTCCAACAGTGTGGACAAGTATAGGTTGTCAATATATATATAGCTAGACAACAGGGAAGGGAGTACCCCAATTTTATCCAGTATACTAGACAACAGGGAAGGGAGTACCCCAAATCTTACAACAGGAAAGGGAGTACCCCAAATCTTATCCAGTATACTAGACAACAGGGAAGTGAGTACCCCAAATCTTCTCCAGTATACTAGACGACAGGGAAGGGAGTACCTTAAATCTTCAAACAGGAAAGGGAGAACCCCTAATCTTATCAAGTATACTAGACAACGGGGAAGGGAGTACCCCAAATCTTCTCCAGTATACTAGACGACAGGGAAGGGAGTAACCCAATTTTATCCAGTATACTAGACGACAGGGAAGGGAGTAACCCAATTTTATCCAGTATACTATACAACAGGGAAGGGATTCCCCCAATTTTATCCAGTATACTATACAACAGGGAAGGGAGGACCCCAAATCTTATCCCGTATACTAGACAACAGGGACGGGAGAACCCCAATTTTATCCAGTATACTATACAACAGGGAAGGGAGCACCCCAAATCTTATCCAGTATACTAGACAACAGGGAAGGGAGTACCCCAAATCTTACCCAGTATACTAGACAACAGGGAAGGGAGAACCCCAATTTTATCCAGTATACTAGACAACAGGGAAGGGAGTACCCCAAATCTTATCCAGTATACTAGACAACAGTACCTGGAGAGTTAATACCTCTTTGATTAGTTGTATTTTATCACACAGGTTGTACATTATACCTTAGTCATTGCTATGTATTTTTTTGTTTACTTATATTCAACTTACATGTCATTAAAGATGAACCGTCTGGTCAAAATAATACACTGTCTGTGTTTAGTGTTCATATACAGGGATAACCTAATGTTTACACAATAACAGGGTAGAAACGATAAAAAAGTGTTTTATCAATCAACAATAATCTACAAATGATATTGTTCTCAAATATAAATACAATATTGGTATTTTATAGCAGAACTTGGGATGGGAGGATAGGAATGAACCAAAGTAATTAAAGTAATAAAAATGGACTTTTTCCCTGTATTGTTTTTCTTCCTGATTAAGTAATAACTCTGAAGGAAATAGGTGGCCAAACTAGTTCACTATAATAGACACTATGGATTGTTAAATTACCTGTAAAAATGGTGTCATACACGCTAATTGTCCTTTATTTCTGATCATTTATAATAAACATTCCAATTTTTTGGTTGATTTTTAAATTATAACACATTATTACTGAGGGATGTACTGAATCACTATTACCATATACTGCTAGTGATCAATCGTGTTCTACAGGTTTTATCATTGCTGTAGGTTTTTGCTTTACTTTAAGCTGGATGTTTCATTCCTCAAGCTAATTGAATTTATAGATCAAATTATTATTGATAAGATGGCAACTTTGGTTGGTGATGAAATTGTCTTATATGAGTGTAGCTTTCAAACTACATGTACATGTATTGTATTTTATAAAGCTTAGCTGCTAAATTTGGTATTTATATAATATTTAAACATTTGTTATGATGATATACTATATACCAACTTTTCTTGTGAATCTAAGACATGTACCAGCTTTACCTAATTACTGTAATAACTTGTTGTTAATTAAACAGACCTAGAGTTGATTGAGGTGTAACAACGTGGTTCACTAAAGAACTCCATTTGGTTATTATACAGACATAAAGAAGACAGGATGTTAAAAATGTTGTGCATGTATATTAAAGAAAACTTCTTCTCTTACCGTGGACAGGTGTATCCGCACTTTTACCGTGTGAGATTTCCTTGTCTCACCCGAGGGTTGAGACGGGGGGATTCCCCTATTCATAACAATGGTATGATATGTCACTTCAACAATACAAACCCTCGGGGAAAGATTCTTAAGTTGCCAAACACTCTGCAAAGCCTCATGTTCGGCAACTTAAGAATCTTTCCGCTTGGGTTGAGACTCCCCTATCTCGCCTCCAAGGGGGTAAGAGAAATTATTCTATTAATGTCAACTCTGTGTGTTAGCTCAAATTATTATCGTTGAACAATTCTAGGTTGTGAAGCTGTGTACGTAAAATGTAAGTGACATTTTTTGAACTCATGTAATTTTTATCAAAATTGAAATTATTTTCAATTTTCAACTACACTTTGAAAAATGCCGGACATTTTTTGCTATGGGCTCTTGAAAGTATACCTAGTATGTGTTGTACGGTATGATTTGGAATATTGGAAATATTATCCGATATTTTTTTCACCTTGGAGAATAACTGTTGAAAATAAATCAGCCTTTTATCATCATCATGATGTGTTGTTTTGTTTCTCGGAATCCCTTATATCTATACAATATTCAAAAGAATTAAGTATCAAAATTTCCTTATGATGGCAATGACACTACATGTATTTATATATCCAGCATCAAAACCCAAACTTGCTTGAATGGACTCGGCCCGGGCCCATGCAGCCTCCCTTCATAAAAAATACTGTGGATTCCTCTCAATCCCCCATATCTTTAGTCAGAAGGCAAGCTAGAGGCCCACAGGCCTTAATGGTCGCCTGAGTTAATTGTAATACAATTGTTAACTGTTTTTTGCGATGTGACAAAAACAAATATTAGATATAATTCAATTTTCTTACAGTGGATTCCTTGACATAATGATGTTGGGGAGTGAACAACATCTATATATAGGAGGTAATGGACAGAAAAAAAAGTGAATCTCGATTTAACTTGAAGCGTGGTCTACACCTGCTCCCTGCATATCTACAAAGTTTTAATCCCAATGCACTTACAAACAAAGTTTGATGCCCATTCATGAAACAGCAGCTGAGATGTATGCTCTGGAAACCAATATTTAAGTTTTTGAGGTAAATGTCAAAGGTCAAATTGATTTAGGATACAACATACAGAAGAGTTTCTGAGATATTCTCTGAAGACCACAGTCAACATGGAGAAGAAAGCAAATACTATATACCCCTTACTTCAGCTGATGCAGGTATGATAATAAAATTATGTAATCTATTTGTTTACTCTTAAAATTTAATTACCCCCTCCCCAAGGAAGAATGGGTGACCCTGGGCTAATGAAATTCTCAAATTTAATCAAGCAAAGCAGAAACATTCCATCCATGATATGTATTTGATTCCAGCAAATTTCAGTTCGAAGAAGATTTTTGAAATTTTAGCCAATTTGACCCTCTATGGCCCTGAAGAAAGTCGGGGTCCTAATTTAAATACCATCAAACTGCAATTACCAACAAAGTTGAATCGTATCCCACTGAAAATAAACAAAATATACTTTACCCCCTCCCCAAGGGGGAGTTTGGATTGCCTTGGACAATGGCAACTTCCTGCAAACTTGTCATGAAATTAGTTGAGTGACTATGGAGAGGAAGGCAATCACAATAGGTCAATTGATACTTTGTGTCAGGTGACCTTAAAACTGGTAGAGGTCAAGAGAGCAAAACAAAACCAAAAGTTTCGGAAACATAGTTTATTTTCTGTCCCATTACATTGCACTTCTGACATCTAGGCAACACAAGAAAGCTTTGTCATGAAGCTAGAAACATTTGAAACTGTCAATAGCACAAACGGTGAGCGTACACACACCAACTCCACAACATAAACACCCCACTCCATTACCCCCTCTCTACACCCCACTCCATTACGCCCTCTCTCTGACCTATAACACACCTTCTTTACATATGATTTTTTTAACATTCCTTCCGTCATTCCACTTTCTTACAACTGACTAATTGTGGATCACAAAAATATTTGTTTTATCACATGTGTACATGTACTACATAGAGAAGAAAATGTTTTAACAAAAGTCAAAATATCACAAAGTTTTGCATCACAACAAATTGCAGAATGTGCACTCGCAGTTCCTGGCTACATACAAAATAACATGCTTTAAATTTCATAATTTCAAGCTGGCTAAGATAAGATAATTAACAAGCACAAGACTGGCTGTACACAGGGCTACTACTACTCCGATGGCGTACAAATGTAGCTACACGTTTAAACTATACACCCAATGTGTACCAGGTAACCTTTTTGATGTCCCACATTATAAACCCATTAATGAAACCAGGATGTCATCTTTAAAATACAGTCAGTATAATTGTCTTGCACCATGCTGATAATGTATACACCTTAATCATCCTGGCAGTGTTATTTATATTAATTACAGAAAACAGATTCCTAGTCAAATAACACTGAACATTATATACATATATGAAAACAGTACAGTCAATTTGTAAATATGATATCCTAAATGGGATTAAAGCATCCATTCAAATGAGCCAGATAAATACTGGTAAGCCTGATGGTTGATCCCTCACCATCACATGCTGTACCTAATGGATGATCCCACACCAATACATGCTGTATCTACTGGTTGATCCCACATCAATACATGCTATTCCCATTACATTGCACTTCTGACATCTAGGCAGCACAAGAAAGCTTTGTCATGAAGCTAGAACCATTTGAAACTGTCAATAGCACAAACGGTGAGCGTACAAACACCAACTCCACAACATAAACACCCCACTCCATTACCCCCTCTCTTCACCCCACTCCCATACCCCCTCTCTACACCCCCCTCCAATACCCTCTCTCTACCCCCCACTCCATTACCCCCTCTCTTCACCCCACTCCAATACCCCCTCTCTACACCCCCCTCCATTACCCCCTCTCTACCCCCCACTCCATTACCCCCTCTCTTCACCCCACTCCCATACCCCCTCTCTACACCCCCCTCCAATACCCTCTCTCTACACCCCACTCCAATACCCTCTCTCTACACCCCACTCCATTACCCCCTCTCTCTGACCTATAACACACCTTCCTTACATATGATTTTTTTAACATTCCTTACGTCATTCCACTTTCTTACAACTGACTAATTGTGGATCACAAAAATATTTGTTTTATCACATGTGTACATGTACTACATAGAGAAGAAAATGTTTTAACAAAAGTCAAAATATCACAAAGTTTTGCATCACAACAAATTGCAGAATGTGCACTCGCAGTTCCTGGCTACATACAAAATAACATGCTTTAAATTTCATAATTTCAAGCTGGCTAAGATAAGATAATTAACAAGCACAAGACTGGCTGTACACAGGGCTACTACTACTCCGATGGCGTACAAATGTAGCTACACGTTTAAACTATACACCCAATGTGTACCAGGTAACCTTTTTGATGTCCCACATTATAAACCCATTAATGAAACCAGGATGTCATCTTTAAAATACAGTCAGTATAATTGTCTTGCACCATGCTGATAATGTATACACCTTAATCATCCTGGCAGTGTTATTTATATTAATTACAGAAAACAGATTTCTAGTCAAATAACACTGAACATTATATACATATATGAAAACAGTACAGTCAATTTGTAAATATGATATCCTAAATGGGATTAAAGCATCCATTCAAATGAGCCAGATAAATACTGGTAAGCCTGATGGTTGATCCCTCACCATCACATGCTGTACCTAATGGATGATCCCACACCAATACATGCTGTACCTAATGGTTGATCCCACATCAATACATGCTATACATAATGGTTGATCCCACATCAATACATGCTGTACCTAATGGTTGATCCCACACCATCACATGTTGTACCTAATGGTTGATCCCACATCAATACATGCTGTCCCTAATGGTTGATCCCACACCAATACATGCTGTCCCTAATGGTTGCTCCCACATCAATACATGTTGTACCTAATGGTTGATCCCACATCAATACCTGTTGTAACTAATGGTTGATCCCATACCAATACATGTTGTTCCTAATGGTTGATCCCACACCAATACATGCTGTACCTAATGTTTGATCCCACATCAATACATGCTGTCCCTTATGGTTGATCCCACATCAATACATGCTGTACCTAATGGTTGATCCCACACCAATACATGTTGTACCTAATGGTTGATCCCACACCATCACATGTTGTACCTAATGGTTGATCCCACATCAATACATGCTGTACCTAATGGTTGATCCCACACCAATACATGCTGTACCTAATGGTTGATCCCACACCAATACATGCTGTACCTAATGGTTGATCCCACACCAATACATGCTATACCTAATGGTTGATCCCACACCAATACATGCTATACCTAATGGTTGATCCCACATCAATACATGCTATACCTAATGGTTGATCCCACACCATCACATGCTGTACCTAATGATTGATCCCACACCTAGTGATCACCTCAACTGTACTCTAGTCTTCTGATTAGAAGTATTTTTTTCAATAAACATCATTTAGGGTTACAACATAAATGATATATTTTTTTAAATCATGAAAAAATAAAATCCTAGAACAACAAAGACAACATGATCATGAATGGTACCTTAAAACAGATGGTGGATTCCTTGAGGACAAATATAACAATAGTACAACAGGTTTTCACTGTAAACGAGTGTAATGCTTATGGATAGTCAATACAGGATTAGAAATAATTCACAAACACAGCTAACCAGAATACATCATATGTATCACTAATTTGCATATAGCTGGACATGATCTGGGTGTTTTAAAGTACACATGGAAAGCCAAAAGCGATATATATATACATAATAAGGTAAATTAGGAAATAATTTATATAGTCACCTATGCAATGTAATTCTTGACCATCAAAAATATGAAACTTGTCTAATAAATATTATCGTCTAAAAGGAGAGGTTTCTGAAGACTAAATCAGCAATAGGATACACTGCTACGCAAGCTATCGTCTTAAAAGGTTGCAACTATTTTGCATTTAAATGTCAAAACCTTCAGCACTATTTATGCTTAACCTCCAAGCAAACAGCCTACAGCAAAGAATAGTATAACCTACAACACAATGCTAAGCCTACAACAAAGTATAGTATAACCTAGCTACAACACAATGCTTAGCCTATAAGCCTACAACAAAGTATAGTATAACCTACAACACAATGCTAAGCCTATAAACCTACACCAAAGTATAGCATAATTAACCTACAACACAATGCTAAAGCCACCAGCCTACACCAAAGTATAGTATAATTAAGCTAAGCCAACAGCTTACACCAAAGTATAGTATAATTAACCTACAACACAATGCTAAGCCAACAGCCTACAGCACAACTGTCCTGGGTTTCGAATGGTATCACAGGATGCTAGAATCAAACTTTAATTGAGACAAACTGGGCTATTTCCTCTAGTAATTTTAGTTGAACTTGAAGCCATGTTGAAATAGTGGCTCTACTTTATTGTATCACAATAGAGACTGAAACAAAGATTAAACAGTTTGAGGACACATACAGCACACATTGGCACATATCAGAAGTGATTAGCCGTGAAACCATCTTAATTTGAATTTTCTGATAATAAATGGACCATATTTTTGTTACAAAAGATTTCGGGGACAAGATTTATTACTAAGAAAGTTATCATAAGAGAGATTGACTCTCATGTTCAGTACAGTCCTAACACTGTACTGAAATATGTTGAGTAGGTGCTAAGTTTAAATTGTTCTCCATAATTTATATAGTGGAACCTGTACCAACCACGCCTTCATCTAATCTGTAATCAATTTTTAAATCAGACCCCGGTTTTAAAAATGTTACTTTACCTAATGTAAAGGGTTATAACCCCTGCATTAATAGCTATCTTCAAGAAGAAGAGTTCCTCTCTGAGCTTTTGTAACTTCCGAGTATATATATAGGTTCGTTTGTTTCTCCCTTCTATACAGATACTCTAGCAACCAAAATGAGTTTTTCTTGCTTCACCTATCAAGTTATGTTTCTTTCAAAGTTGATTGTATTTTCATAGGCGCTGCAGCCCATATTTTTGGATATACGTGTACTGACAATAATTTGTTAACACTTGTACATATACAGTGCACCCATTACATGAAAATCTGGGCCCCTTCTTACTCATGATACAGTACAAACATTCTAGGTAACTTGGGTAATATAAACATCCACATGAACTAGGTATAATCTACAATTCATGTGTGGGAATACATTGGTGACTTATAACTATAAGAAGACCGTCACAGTCACAAACCAGTTCTCATTGCATACCATTATTTTCTGAAACAAAATTCCCGTTTCATTATGACATATGTATGATAATGAATGGGAACAAGTTGGCATTTATCACATGACTCACCAACTTACTTGAAACGAGACAAACGAGAAAAAATGTCAGGATAAAAGTTACAGCTATCATTGTCATCCCCGACACAATCACAACAAGTGTTACATCATGTGCAAGGATTTGTATCTGTTACATGAACAATAAGACACAGTAGTGCAAGCAATTCATATCATAATTCCCCCACCTCTGCACAAACTGTTTTTATTTTAAGCGATCAAAGGGCAATAACTCTATACAAATCGGGGCACAAGACCCAATACCATTATGCTTGCTATTAAAGTTGTACTTGCATACACATTTTGGCAATTGTAGGTGACAGAGTCATTAGAGGATAGCATAGAGTCTCACTGATCATCAAGGGTGTAAACCTATAGTCCCCTCTGGAAGCCGAATACAATATGTGTATCTCTGTTCAAATGTGCCCAAGTAAAAGTTATGGGAAAGATATCTGAATCTATAATTCTTGCTAATAATACCTGATAAAATTATCAGTGAATTTAAAAGAGTAATTATACATGACCCTATCACAGCCTGTGGTTACTTGTCTGAGGACTCTTAGTGATTATTATGACAATAACATCAGCACAAATATATTGATCATAGGCAAATTACAGTCAATGAGTAAACATTGGGACATTGTTATCCAGACCAGAATACAAACACCTGCTTTCTTAAATCTTACATCATTCAAATGTACGTATTGTAATCTTATACACTCTTATCACTCGTCATAATTGTACATTGTATTCCACTCTTATACATGCGCATAAATGTAGTGTAACACATGATAACATGCGCAGGTGATTTTTCATTTACAAAAACTATTGCACTAAACTTGAGTCAGTTAAGTTGTACAGAAATTGGCTGTATTAACATTTTATGGTTCCACAACAACCATGAATCTACAAATTTAATGTAAATTTATGCAAACAGCAATAATTTCATATTCTACAGTAATTCTGCAGCTGATGAGTTTAACTGATAATCCTCCTTCTTAAAATACCAATTCCTGGGGTGTATCGGAAACCAGTGAATTGACTGCTCCATTATACATATAAAAAGTAACAGATACTGACCGACACAATTCTTACTGAACCACTATTGTTTCCTAAAGGGGAATCACAGTTTCATGGTGGGTCACCATACAGGTATATGGTCTAATGTACATGTATGGTCACCATATATTAAGTCTCGTGCATTGTTACTATCAATGGTCTAATGAAGGGTCACCATATATAGTCTGATGAATATAACCAGATATAGCCTGATAGAGAGCCACCATATAAAGTCTCCTGTAGGGTCACCATATATAGTCTGATGAATATAACCAGATATAGCCCAATAGAGAGCCACCATATATAGTCTGATGAATATAACCAGATATAGCCTGATAGAGAGCCACCATATAAAGTCTCCTGTAGGGTCACCATATATAGTCTGATGAATATAACCAGATATAGCCCGATAGAGAGCCACCATATATAGTCTGATGAATATAACCAGATATAGCCTGATAGAGAGCCACCATATATAGTCTGATGAATATAACCAGATATAGCCTGATAGAGAGCCACCATATATAGTCTGATGAATATAACCAGATATAGCCTGATAGAGAGTCACCATATATAGTCTGATGAATATAACCAGATATAGCCTGATAGAGAGCCACCATATATAGTCTGATGAATATAACCAGATATAGCCTGATAGAGAGCCACCATATATAGTCTGATGAATATAACCAGATATAGCCTGATAGAGAGCCACCATATATAGTCTGATGAATATAACCAGATATAGCCTGATAGAGAGTCACCATATATAGTCTGATGAATATAACCAGATATAGCCTGATAGAGAGCCACCATATATAGTCTGATGAATATAACCAGATATAGCCTGATAGAGGGTCACCATATATAGTCTGATGAATATAACCAGATATAGCCTGATAGAGAGCCACCATATATAGTCTGATGAATATAACCAGATATAGCCTGATAGAGAGCCACCATATATAGTCTGATGAATATAACCAGATATAGCCTGATAGAGGGTCACCATATATAGTCTGATGAATATAACCAGATATAGCCTGATAGAGAGCCACCATATATAGTCTGATGAATATAACCAGATATAGCCTGATAGAGAGTCACCATATATAGTCTGATGAATATAACCAGATATAGCCTGATAGAGAGCCACCATATATAGTCTGATGAATATAACCAGATATAGCCTGATAGAGAGCCACCATATATAGTCTGATGAATATAACCAGATATAGCCTGATAGAGAGTCACCATATATAGTCTGATGAATATAACCAGATATAGCCTGATAGAGAGTCACCATATATAGTCTGATGAATATAACCAGATATAGCCTGATAGAGAGCCACCATATATAGTCTGATGAATATAACCAGATATAGCCTGATAGAGAGTCACCATATATAGTCTGATGAATATAACCAGATATAGCCTGATAGAGAGCCACCATATATAGTCTGATGAATATAACCAGATATAGCCTGATAGAGAGCCACCATATACAGTCTCCTGTAGGGTCACCATATATAGTCTGATGAATATAACCAGATATAGCCCGATAGAGAGCCACCATATATAGTCTGATGAATATAACCAGATATAGCCTGATAGAGAGCCACCATATATAGTCTCCTGTAGGGTCACCATATATAGTCTGATGAATATAACCAGATATAGCCTGATAGAGAGCCACCATATAAAGTCTCCTGTAGGGTCACCATTTCCACAGTACATGTACGTAGTTAGCTGGATAAGGGACCAGTTGGTCTTGAAATGTTGTAACATATTTGATACAATATATCGTCTAACAAAATTTCACAAGATGTAAGTTATCAACTCTGTCATAAAAATGTTGACTCATATACCTGGAACCCTGACTTTTAGGAAATGGAACATTTTACTTATAACCTTCACATTTATCAAATCTGTTCCGACATATACACATTTTCAGACAATATATAGTACACACAGTCTTAAAACATATATTTTAACGTATTCATGTATATACCATACCATGAATAGGCACATACACAAGATCAAGAGTATTATTATCAATATAATCATGTACAAACCACATTTATCGACACACAACATAAATATTGGTGATCAGAAAGCGTGGACATCATCAACAATGTTCTGCCTTAATACTGGAGGACACAACAGACTCTCTCTCACACACATGTTAATGATTAACACATTCAATCACACAGTGAAAACTATATTAGATATTATCTAATAACTAAGCATTAAATATGTTCAATTGACAACTTTCTGAGTATACATGTGCAAGTTAAATTAAAGTCATGATGACATTAGCATCACATTTCACATCACAGAAGTCATACACTTGTGGAGACAAACATTACAGGTAAGTGCAACAGGTGTGCCGTCAGGTAAAATACAACTCTACGTGTCAACAAAACGCTCCTCAAATATCACAGGGTTAAAGCCTACTCTCATGTTTACCATGTACACATACTGTACACCATGTACAAACACCATGTACACACACCATGTACACATACTGTACACCATGTACATACACCATGTACAGTTTGTGTGTATGGTGTACAGTGTATATACACACACCATGTACACATACCGTACACCATGTACATACACCGTGTACTCATACTGTACACCATGTACTCACACCATGTACATACACCATGTACAGTTTGTGTGTATGGTGTACAGTGTATATACACACACCATGTACACATACCGTACACCATTTACATACACCATGTACACACACCGCGCACATATACTGTACACCATGTACATACACCGTGTACTCATACTGTACACCATGTACATATACTGTACACCATGCTCACATACTGTACACACACTGCGTACACATACTGTACACCACGTACATACACTGTGTACACATCCTGTACACCATTTACATACACCATGTACACACACCGCGCACATATACTGTACACCATGTACAAACACTGTGTACACATACTGTACGCCATGTACATACACTGTGTATACATACTGTACGCCATTTACATACACCATGTACACACACAATGCACATACACTGTACACCATACACACAAACTGTACATGGTGTATGTACATGGTGTGAGTACATGGTGTACAGTATGCGTACATGGTAAACATGAGAGTAGGCTTTAACCCTGTACAAACACCATGTACACCCCCCATGTACACATACTGTACTCCATGTACACACACCATGTTCACACACCATGTACACCATGTACATACACTTTGTACACATACTGTACACCAGGTACATACACTGTGTACACCTACTGTACACCATGTACATATACTGTGTACACATACTGTATACCATGTACACACACCATGAACACACACAATGGACATACACTGTTCACCATATACCCACACTGTGTACACATACTGAATACCATGTACACACACCATGTTCACACACCATGTACACCATGTACATACACCGTGTACTCATACTGTACACCATGTACACATACTGCACACCATATACACACTCTGTACACCATGTACACACTCCATGTACACATACTGTACTCCATGTACATACACTTTGTACACATACTGTACACCACGTACATACACTGTGTACACATTCTGTACACCATGTACACACTCCATGTACACATACTGTACCCCATGTACACACACAATGTACATACACTGTTCACCATATACTCACACTGTATACACATACTGTACACCATTTACATACACTGTGTACACATGCTGTACACCATGTACACACACCATGCACATATACTGTACACCATGTTCACATACTGTACACACACTGTGTACACATACTGTACAATTGTACAGGTGTAACATTGACGAGGTACTTATTATCAGGTGATAACTAATATAGATACTGGAATGGTGAAAAAAGCAGCTGGGATTGTCGTACAAGCATGTACTTATTTGTGGAATAATACAGTAAAAGAAAAATTAACGTTCAAAAATGTAATACATTACTATACAAGATGCCCAGAGGGCCTGTATCGCTCACCTGGATATCTAAGCAATCATGGCAAAATATTCTCCAAATGAGATCAAAGAAAATATGTCAGACCCGAAGGCCAATCCTTGTAGCATATCTGTATTAGATTTTTCATGCCCAGCAGTTATGGGGTGGGGATCTCAACTAGTACTGTTTCAAAGCTGTGACTCAGAAACTAGGTCCCTAGGATTGTGGCCCGACCCCAGGATCAATTCTAATATCATGACTGCATTCTTCACTTTTTGCCCATCATTTGTATTTCTATTTTTGGGGTGGGGATTTCAACCGTTTCAAAGTTATGACACAGAGGTTAAGTCTGCAAGGGTGGGGCAGACCCAGGGGTCAATTCTAATATCATGACTGCATTCATCTCTTTATGCCTAACAATTTTATAATTAGTTTTGGAGTGGGGATCTTAACCGTTTCGAAGTTATGACCAAAGGGTAAAGTCTCCAAGGGTGGGGTAGACCCCAAGGCCATCATGGAAGCATATGTGCATTCGTCTCTTTATACTCAGCAATTGTATATATGATTCTAGGGTGGGGATCTCAACTGTTTCCAAGCTATGACTAAGAAACTAGGTCCTTAGGGGTTTCAGTCAGAACCCAGGGTCTATTCTAATATCATAACTGCATTCATCTCTTTATGCCCAGCATTTGTATATATGGTTCTGGGGTGGGGATCTCAACTGTTTCAAAGTTATGACCCAGGGACTATGTCTCCAAGGGTGGGGCCAGGCCCTAGAGCTAGACCTGGAAGCAAATGTGCATTCTTCTGTTTATACTCAGCAATTGTATATATGGTTATATGGTGGGGATCTCAACCATTTCCAAGTAATACACTATTTTTGGCCCCACCCCTTAGCCCGGGGTCAGCCCCACCATTTGTACAATTTTGAATCTCTGCTTCCCATGAATGCTTCCGACCAAATATGATTGATATCTATAGCAAATTGCCCCCCTTTGGCCCCATCCTAAGCCCCCTGGGGGGGGGGTTCAGTCCTACCATTTGTACCATTTGAATCCCCACCACCTAGTGATGCTTCCAGTCAAATATGGTTGATATCCATCTCTTCGTTCCAGAGAAGAAGTTGCTTAAAGCAATATAGCCAAATTGCCCGCTTTTTGCCCGACCCTCAGCCCCCTGGGGGATCAGCCACACCATTTGCACAATTTTGAATCCCCACTACCTAGGGATGCTTTCACTCAAATTTAGTTAAATTCCAATCAGTGGTTAAGAAAAAGAAGTTTTTTAAAGAAATTGTTGACGTACGGACGATGGACGGACGACGGATGCCACAGTATGGCATAAGCTCACCTTGGTCCTTCGGACCCGGTGAGCTAATAATTAATATCTTACTACATCAAATAGTCAGGCATGGAAACAATACCCCAAAATATTGTGAGCATTTTAAAGCAACCATCCATTTTTTCTGAAGCATATACAGTGCTGACACTCAATTAAAACACCTGATGAAAAATAAATATTTCATACAATATTCATCACAATATTAACCTAATGTTTTGAGGACAAATAAAACTTCTCTACAGATTAATGTTATAGTGTACATTGTGTATTTAACCAATGATCAATTATTTTCTAGTCAAAAGCTGTTAATATGGCATGTAGTAACATTTTCATTTATTTAAATACAGGAGTATATCCTGAGTGTGATACCATGAACAGGACACTATAATTGTGTTCACCTAGTTATCAATTTTCTGAATTTATGTTATAAATGTACGTGGCATGAACACAGCAGCAACTTCGTGTAATTACAGTATATAAAAATCTTAAGTTTAACAGTACCCTAAAAATCAAAATCAACTGTCAGTACATTTTCTTACACAATGTTATTTAATGTGTTATCCGAAACTAAATTTAATACCAACTTGTTTTCAAAGTTATTTTTTCAATTTTCATGCAGACATTAAGTATAAGGCAGGCTGTTAGTGTTGTTAGGAGCTTGACGGTTATCATTTCACATAAACTCACTAGGTGAATGCTGGTCTGCTGAACAGGTATTTATACATATATAAATAAAGTTGGACCCAACTTTTCCCACTGAAATATCAAGAAGAGCACCAAAATGTCGTGATAGAAGGGAAGCAACTGTGTTTTGAAACCGTGAAATTTTTTGGGTCCCTCATTTCAACGTCAATAGGAGAAAGTAGGCAAGGTCCTTATTGATAATTATTCTGTTGTAAAACATCCATGAATTATATCTCAATAAAAACAGTGATTGTAACATTTAGTCCCTGCTATTAAATCTGTCAATATAATGCTATTTCCCTGATATTTTATGTTTATTATGAGTATCTATAACTTTACTCTACATTCCCCAGATCATTTGCTGCATTAAATAACCTTTTTTTTCATTGGTTCAATATTTCCGATTTTTATAGAAATGTATCGTAAAGATTATTTATTTTATTTTGTTTTTATCTTATAATTTTTATTTATTTTTGTCATTTCATGCCTCTAATATAATGAACTTCAACATTGTAAACTCAAGTGAAAATGACATAATTTCTAAAAGAATTCTGAGACACTTCAAAAAGTTTAATTTTCCTAGGAATTATATTTGCAGGATCTTATGGAGACTCACTCAAATGAAAATTTCTCAGATCCATTTAATAAATGTCACATGAAATGGAAACAAACTCAAGATCATATAGTGAAACACATGCTTAAATTCCATGTCCATGTCCATGGAGACACACAAACCCCATGATTACAGATCTAGAGCATGGCAGTATGTTTGTAGTGACAGTAAACAAGTGACTGATAACACGGGACATTTGTCGTGACTATATAACTGGTCACTGAGAACATGTTAGATCATAAGTCACTGACCGAGTGACATCTATTAGAGATATTGTAGAATGAAACCCCAGAAGGTCGGTGATGGAGAAAAGAACACCTGCTGTAAATTAGAGGTTTTGTATAATTAACTACCTTAATAATTAACTTTAACCTGGACTTGTCAGCGGCATTTGACGTCATCGACCATGGCATACTTTATAAACGTCTGGAATACTCTTATGGAGTGACTGATACCGTACTATGCTGGGTACAGTCTTACCTGAGTGAACGACGATAGTGTGTTGCCATCGGATCTTCCACCTCACATGACAAAGTACTAGATTTCGGGGTTCCTCAAGGGTTGGTGTTAGGACTACGAAAATATTGTATGTACTCCAAACCGATTGGAGAGATTTGTCGTCGCCATAGCCTTCGCTATCATTGCTATGCCGATGACACACAAATTTACATGGTCATCAAACCACAGGACAGTTGGAATACCGTCTCAGAAAGTCTGGAAGCTTGTCTGACAGATATCAGTATCTGGATGAACGCCAACATGCTTAAGCTTAATCAGGAAAAGACGGAACTAATGGTCTTTTCCCTAAAATGTCAGCAAACAATGGCTCTCCAGCTCAAGGTCGGTGCCAGAACTATTGAGACTGTTCCAGCTGTTAAACACCTAGGTGACTTTGATAGTTCACTGAACATGGAGAAACAAGTGAACGCTATTGCCAAATCCTGCTCCTACCAGATCAGGAACATCGGCTGTATTCGGCAGTTTCTAACTGCAGATGCATGCAAGATGTTGGTGCATTCACTTGTTACCTCTCGGTTGGATTATGGTAACGCCCTGCTCTGTGGTATATCGGACAAACTAACCAGTCGTCTGCAGAGAGTCCAGAACACTGCAGCACGGCTAGTTACTCGTCCTCGAAAGAGAGAGCCCATCACACCTGTGCTCTATTCGTTGCACTGGTTACCTGTACGATACAGGTCGCAGTACAAAATTCTGGTGTACACATACAAGGCACTGAATGGAACAGCTTCTCAGTACATACAGGAGCTTGTTACCCTGTATCAGGTGTCACGATCACTGCGGTCGAAGTCAGAATCTCGCATTTTATATTCTTTGCAAAGACGTTATGTAAATACCACCCTTTTATTTGTTCAATTATGTGCACATTGCTTGCTTAAATGTATAAAAGTGATTGTAAGCCTTTGTTTTTTGTTTTCACAATTATAACCATTACTATTATCCATATGTTGAAAAGTGCTTTAGAGTAATTTTACAAATTATATAGGGCGCTATATAAATGTTGTATATTATCATTATTATTAATAATTGATGCTTATATTAGTAAATCTACCTTAAGAGTACAATATTTTTATCGCTTTAAAAACCGACAAGCATTCATCTGATAAAAAGAGGTCAACCTGATTACATATGGCTTGTAAACTAGATTTGCTTTATCTCTGATGTTTCCAAACCATAACACACCAATCGACTTGAGGCTTTACAAAATATATTAACCTTGTTTTCTACATTTCACAATAAAAGAATCAATTCACTATTAGAACCTTCAAGAAGTGTTCTTCTTTTTTTTTTTAGTTCAGCATAAATGAAGTAAAACAATGTTTAAAAACATACAACTGTTTACAAAAAGAAAACTTCTAAACTCAAAACATCATTGTACTATTATATACAGATTGTTCATATTTATAAATTTTAGGTATATATATACTCATTTGAAATATTGATTTTTGTTGTATTTATTTAACAATAAATTTGAGGAATTTATATTACAATAAATTTGTGGAAATGTTTTCCTCCCTGTCTTAAATTTAGCCAAGACAGAAGGAATAAGAGTAAATTGCTTCAGCACAGAACACTTAAATTTACCTTGGTCTGACAGCGTCCCTACAATATCAGGTCATGGTTCTAACCATCTCTAGTTTACACTAGTGATGGTCTGACAGCGTCCCTACAATATCAGGTCCTGGTTCTAACCATCTCTAGTTTACACTAGAGATGGTCTGACAGCGTCACTACAATATCAGGTCATGGTTCTAGCCATCTCTAGTTTACACTAGTGATGGTCTGACAGCGTCCCTACAATATCAGGGCCTGGTTCTTACCATCTCTAGTTTACACTAGAGATGGTCTGACAGCGTCACTACAATATCAGGTCCTGGTTTTTACCATCTCTAGTTTACACTAGTGATGGTCTGACAGCGTCCCTATAATACCAGGTCCTGGTTCTTACCATCTCTAGTTTACACTAGTGATGGTCTGACAGCGTCCCTACAATATCAGGTCCTGGTTCTTACCATCTCTAGTTTACACTAGAGATGGTCTGACGCATCCCTACAATATCAGGTCCTGGTTCTTACCTTCTCTAGTTTACACTGGTGATGGTCTGACGCATCCCTACAATATCAGGTCCTGGTTCTTACCATCTCTAGTTCACAGGACGAGTTAGTAAGACTGTGAATATGTAGGTTACCATGGCCATTTTATGGAATGACGGAATGATGCTTTTTTAAGGAGTCAAGGAATTCTGTTTGACTTATTTTAAAAATGTTTAAATGAGATTTGCTGACATTTACATGAAGATCAAAGTCATGAAAACTATGAGAATGATTACCTTAACAATGCTATAGTATGACAAACACGTTGGTCCTGTGGAGATGCTGACAGTACAAAGTACATTTATCATAAAAATAAAACAGAATTACAGCCTGCATTTGTATACAATACTTGAGGTTTCATGTAACTAATGAATAAATAAATATCTATTAAATTATTTTATCTTCTGCTAGTGACAGTTCAAAATCATCATCTGCCATATCAAACATGGGCAGTTGTCCAGATAAGGTCACGTCCCTGTCATCCGCTTCCTCATCCTTGTCACACTCATCATCGTCCAGCTCCAGGGAGCCATCAGATATTGCTGTACTTGTCACCAGATCACTGCCTGCACCAACATCCTCCTCATCAGTGTCAGTTGTAAACATTACTGTCTGATCACAGTTTTTGAAATGAACTCCAAATGAGGGGATTTCTGTCCCCTTGATTTTAATAGCTTGGGAGTGTTCTGTTCCCACACAGAAGTCTGTGTCTGGTGATTCTGACAAACACCAATTTAAATCTTTCTGGTCAGAAACTGGTAGATCACTGCTTGTTTTCTGTATCACGTCAGTAAAAGAAGCTTCTTTTTCAGACTCTGAAGAGGCAGAGTCTCCTTTCTGAACATCGGTAACAACTAGCTCATCCATGATTGGTTCCATTGTGGGCTGGGACTTTGCCCTCTGTCTGTCCTCCCCTTCCTGGTCCAGACAGTACTGAAGGCCTGCACAATAGTGCAGCATCATCATCATCATAGCCTCTACCTTCTCGTCCGACTTGGCCTGGCGCTTCCGTATGCTGTCCTTTTGGGCTGGATCAGACACATCCTGTTCCATCCTCAGTAGTTCCGTTTTGTTCTCAGACTCTTTGTCAATCTCTTTCTGTAATTTCATTACCTAAATAAAAAGAAAAACAACTCCAATGTTACATGAACTTGCTAAAGATAGACACTGATTAATACATCTGTAAATAAACAAAATACTAATTACAGCAGTAGTAAATATCATTAACAAAGAAGCACCTGTAGTTAAATCTAACAGCAAAAGTAAATGTAGACAGCCATGAACACATTGGACCTGATGTTAACCATTTTAATTTTCAATTTATAAACCAAAATATTGGCCTCCAACCATCTGATCGTGAAAGTACATGTAGCATATGTATTCCAGATACTTCAAAAACATATTCAGTTGTTTTGATTCTTCATCTCTCCAGGGCAAAATTTATATTGATTGAAGAATAAGATTTCAATTTGTAATGGTAATTGAATAATTCTGTCAATAACCAATGTTGCTTCATGGTTTTACCCAATTACCTCTCTGCGAGATATGTACATTTACTACATATATGTAGCCTGTAGCACAATACAAAAAACAAAATTATTTTATGATTTTTTCATGATTTTTCCAATTCATAGATATTACTACTTTACATGTCTTAAAATGGTTTTTCTATAAAAGACAATGGATACTGTATAGCGCTTTAAATTTGCGGGGTCAATATTTCGCGGTTTCTTATTCAGTACATAATTGCGGGGTTTAAATTTCGCTGTGAACTTGAAAACCATGTGTTGTGCAAAGTATTTTGAGTGTCATAATTCAAGGATTAAACTGATCTCAAGCCTCGTCATCTACCTGCTGTGTACACATAAATATGTGGTGGCCACTTGTAAGTGTTGTTTTTACATGGACTGCCCAGTTGTCTGGTAATATTCATATTTGAGTTCATTTAAGCTTGCATAACAGCGTTGGGTTTTAAGTATTTTCAACATGTTGTGATAAGGTCCGTAAAAGTGATTAACATTTTCGATAATTTCACTGGTGTTTAGAATTCAAGGACATTAGTCAAAGTGTGAATATAGTAAAATTAAAACCCCCATGAAATATAACCGCTATATAGTAATTTAACAAGGTATTTATTGATGGTTAATAATTCAACTAAACACCAAGGTAGGCATCAAAACATTTTCTTACCACTTTACAGCATCTTGAACTGCGCTATGTTGAGCATGATACACTTTGAAAATTATGGATTTAACACAGGACTTTAAAGAACTTACTAGTAATAAATAAATAATGTTAAAATGTGTATAATAACTGAAAACCAAAACCACACTAACTAACTACATTATACAACGTCTGTGCTTGTGAGCATGCAAAAAATGATAACACCGTGTAGAACCAGTGAGTCTCCGAACTCCCACCTCCAACCGACGAGCTGTTAATACAGTACACTGGTGTAAACGGCTAGATTACATGTTATGTTAGTCAAACATACATTTGTCATTAATTAACTGGAATACAATAAAGCAATCTACCAGTAGACACCTTCAATTCATACTAGACACATGTCACAGACACAAAGTACCAAAATGCCTTTTATTGTAGAAGTAGTTTTTTTGTCTCTATGGTAACAGTCTAGAAATTACCATGTTGTCAAGTTTTTCTTTCCTTTCCTCCAATGAGAGTTCGGCAAATAGTTCCTTTCCCATTTCCTTCGCAGCCATAACAACCATTTCGTCTAGGTTGTTGTGACCTTTGACCTTTTTCATTTTGGCCATACGTTCTTGTAGTTCTGCTGCCATTTCCCCATCCGATTCATCTGAGCTATCAAATAATTCCTTTTCCTGTCACATAAAAAAGTACTAAAAATTACAAGATTGTAATTTGTTTTTTAAAGTTAGACCTTAAGCCTTACATCTTGATTCCAGATTTGTGAAAATTAACTGTTTAGACATCTTAAAATGTTCTCTCGATAGTAAAATTATGGAAATGTTTTCAAATAGATCTAGAGTCAATTACATTATCTATGATCTATGAGATTTCCTAAGTTTGAATCATTTGTCCATTCAAATTGTCGTGCAACATGATGCTACAACATATGTTTATGTAAGGTGCTTCAGTGGATTTAATTTATGAAGGAAGGAGAAGATGTTAAAGAAAAAAAATCTTTCTTAAAAACGTAACTAATTTTCACCACAACAGTGAATTCTGAAAGATGGATATTAAAATTGATAATTATCATTAACTAGATTTTGATATTAACCATTTACTGATTGATATATACATGTACACAGTAATTGTGTAATTTATGATCTTACTTTACTGATCAGCAGAAGATGATTTATGTATGTAACTATAGCTTTGTGTTACCGAGTGCTATTATGCTAAGGAATGTCAGTAGGTAATATAATAGCAAGGCTAATCTCGTGAAGGTGATCACAGGAAGGTATGACAATAAAGATTCAGGAACAGTACCTCACATTAATCTTTTCATCACTATTTATTTAAACGTCATGCATCATTTCTATCACAGGTACTCTTCAAATGGCTTAAAACTACAATATATTGTTAGAACTGCAGTAAGTATAAGGAGTTTAAGTTTTACAAGTACAGATGGTTGTGCAATTGTTATGAGTTCATGAAGCAGTGTAATTGTTATGAGTACATGAATAAGTGTAATTGTTATGGGTACATGAAGCAGTGTAATTGTTATGGGTACATGAAGCAGTATAATTGTTATGGGTACATAAAGCAGTGTAATTATTATGGGTACATGAAGCAGTGTAATTGTTATGGGTACATGAAGCAATGTAATTGTTATGGGTACATGAAGCAGTGTAATTGTTATGGGTACCTGAAGAAGTATAATTGTTATGGGTACAAGAAGCAGTGTAATTGATATGGGTACATGAAGAAGTGTAATTGTTATGTGTACATGAAGCAGTGTGATTGTTATGGGTACACAAAGCAGTGTAATTGTTGTGGGTACATGAAGCAGTGTAATTGTTATGGGTACATAAAGCAGTGTAATTGTTATGAGTACATGAATCAGTGTAATTGTTATGGGTACATAAAGCAGTGTAATTGTTGTGGGTACATGAAGCAGTATAATTGTTATGGGTACATAAATCAGTGTAATTGTTATGAGTACATGAAGCAGTGTAATAGTTATGGGTACATGAAGCAGTGTAATTGTTACGGGTACATGAAGCAGTGTAATTGTTATGGGTACAAGAAGCAGTGTAATTGTTATGGGTACATGAGGCAGTGTAATTGTTATGGGTACATGAAGCAGTAATTGTTATGGGTACATGAAGCAGTGTAATTGTTATGCGTACATGAAGCAGTGTAATTGTTATGAATACATGAAGCAGTGTAATTGGTATGGGTACATAAAGCAGTGTAATTGTTATGGGTACATGAAGCAGTGTAATTGTTATGGGTACATAAATCAGTGTAATTGTTATGAGTACATGAAGCAGTGTAATTGTTATGGGTACATGAAGCAGTGTAATTGTTATGAATACATGAAGCAGTGTAATTGTTATGGGTACATAAAGCAGTGTAATTGTTATGGGTACATAAAACAGTGTAATTGTTATGGGTAAAGGATCATGTCTACCATGAACAGGCTTGAACTTATTGTTTACTGTAAAGTAATGCATGTGTTCCAAGCTAACAAGAAATATCAAAATTTCTATGTAGGTAGTTCATTGCACCTTCCATGATTCATTACAAACAGGTTTTAATGTAAGTTAAATCAAACATTTCCAAGCCAGGATTTGTTATAAACAAATTCTGCTGTAAAAACTAATTTCCTAGAAGCTCTGGAGTACACATGAATAACAAAACTAATTTCCTAGAACCACTGGAGTACACATGAATAACAAAACTAATTTCCTATGTCCCGTGGTGTTTATCATTTACATATTTAACATTTCTTGGGCCAGGTCCACTGGCATTCATTATTATAAAAAAAAATGCTGTAAAGCAATTATTTTTTGATAATCCGGAATTCATAACAAACTTATTTAAATTAACTTCTTAAATCCTCCAGAGTTTTTTATAAACATGTTTTGTTGTAAAATTTATTTTGATTGGCTTAATTTAATATTTATACATACTAATAGCCTTACTGAAGAGGTGCCTCAAAAAGCATGCTGTGAACAAGTTGCTATAACAGTACGGTCAACATAAAGTGATTACATATATGTATATCTGTATTATAATGCCATGACCTTGGCATATTTTGTGATATAAAAAACAGTGAAAGGATCCATGATCCACCTTGTCATCAAAACGTTTCATGTTTGCCTACTTGTTCCCTTTTAATTGATTTTGACCAATTTTTAAGACCAAATTTGAACCTATTAAACAACCTTTTATGTGCTAAAATGCAATTAAGATAAAAAAAATAATACTTATTGCACATAGTGATGGGCAATCGGTTTAAAATCATAAACGATAATTGGTTTATAATCGGAAGAAGTAAACCCATCGATGATCGATAGCATAATCGGTTCATAAGTTATACATTAGGTTTTGTTCTTTTATAATGAACCGATTTCAAGCAATTTTTATTCAGTTTCATCAATCATATAGTAAAAATCCTAAGAATATGTGACTTTCAATACATTTTTAATTGAAAACAATTAACATTTAAATTTTAACGAAGAACCGATTATATCGATAATGGAATTTTTAATAGATAATTGGAATCGGAGAGGACAAACCGATCAATTTTCTATTATAATATATCATCAGCCGATCACTAATTGCACATATACAAAACTGATTTCAGATACATGTATCAACACAAATTTTAAACTGCAATTTATGTGGGTTTTTTTTTTTTAAAGGTACCCTACTATTCCTATTTGATGTACGTGACTGTGTGTAAGATGATAAGGTATACAGAGCCGACCCTACCCACCATATATATACATGTACATGCTGACGTGGACCTCTCACAACCATACCTAATTGTATGAATGTTTCATCATAGACCAACAACCAAAATGTTTTTTTGTGACTTTCACTACATAATACTAAAACGTTTAATGAAATGAAAAGCAAATCATATTTGTCAAAAACTAAAGTTTGATGCATTAATCGTGATTAACGAAAATAACGGAACAGAAACATAACACTACACCATGCTGGATCACTCAGGTAATTATCACGACATCAGTCTGAAATGAAACCTCCTCATGTTTGCTATTTTAATCATTTAAATAATAACATTTATCATCGATGATCAAACAACACTTCTTCTTAACATAACTGTTAGGAGTAATCTGTCTGTGGACCTAACAGATACATCCTGTAGTAAATCAGGGTACCCTTGGTAGGAGTAATCTGTCTGTGGACCTCACAGATACATCCTGTAGTAAATCAGGGTACCATGGTATGGGGTGATCTGTCTGTAGACCTCAAAGATACATCCTGTAGTAAATCAGGGTACCATTGTATGGGGTGATCTATCTGTGGACCTCACAGATACATCCTGTAGAAAATCAGGGTACCATTGTATGGGGTGACCTGTCTGTGGACCTCACAGATACATCCTATAGTAAATCAGGGTACCATTGTATGGGGAGATCTGTCTGTGGACCTCACAGATACAGCCTGTAGTAAAGCAGGGTACCATTGTATGGGGTGATCTGTATGTGGACCTCACAGATACATCCTGTAGTAATTCAGGGTACCATTGTTAGGAGTGATCTGTATATGGACCGCACAGATACATCCTGTAGTAAATCAGGGGACCATTGGATGGGGAGATCTGTCTGTGGACCTCACGGATACATCTTGTAGTAGTAATCTGTCTGTGGACCTCACAGATTCATCCTGTAGTAAATCAGGGTACCATTGTATGGAGTGATCTGTCTGTGGACCTAACAGATACATCCTGTAGTAAATCTGGGTACCATTGTATGGGGTGATCTGTCGGTAGACCTCACAGACACATCCTGTAGTAAATCAGGGTACCATGGTTCGGGGTAATCTGTCTGTAGACCTCAAAGATACATCCTGTAGTAAATCAGGGTACCAGTGTATGGGGTGATCTGTCTGTGGACCTCACGGATACATCTTGTAGTAGTAATCTGTCTGTGGACCTCACAGATTCATCCTGTAGTAAATCAGGGTACCATTGTTTGGGGTGATCTGTCTGTGGACCTCACCGATACATCCTGAAGTAAATCAGGGTACCATTGTTAGGAGTAATCTGTCTGTGGCCCTCACAGATACATCCTGTAGTAAATCTGGGGACCATTGTATGGGGTGATCTGTCTGTGGATCTCACAGATACATCCTGTAGTAAATCATGGTACCATTGTATGGGGTGATCTGTCTGTAGACCTCAAAGATATGTCCTGTAGTAAATCAGGGTACCATTGTCTGGGGTGATCTGTCTGTGGACCTAACGGATACATCCTGTAGTAAATCACGGTACCATTGTTAGGAGTAATCTGTCTGTGGCCCTCACAGATACATCCTGTAGTAAATCTGGGTACCATTGTATGGGGTGATCTGTCTGTAGACCTCAAAGATATGTCCTGTAGTAAATCAGGGTACCATTGTATGCGGTGATCTGTCAGTAGACCTCACAGATACATCCTGTAGTAAATCTGGGTACCATTGTATGGGGTGATCTGTCCGTGGACCTCACAGATACATCCTGTAGTAAATCAGGGTACCATTGTTAGGAGTGATCTGTATGTGGACCTCACAGATACATCCTGTAGTAAATCAGGGTACCATTGTTAGGAGTAATCTGTCTGTGTACCTAACGGATACATCCTGTAGTAAATCAGGGTACCATTGTATGGGGTGATCTGTCTGTGGACCTCACAGATACATCCTGTAGTAAATCAGGGTACCATTGTATGGGGTGATCTGTCTGTGGACCTCACGGATACATCTTGTAGTAAATCAGGGTACCATTTTATGGGGTGATCTGTCTGTTGACCTCACAGATACATCCTGTAGTAAATCAGGGTACCATTGTATGGGGTGATCTGCTATGGCTATAACACTTGGACTATAGATCACCATAAGAACTATGGAGCTGGAGTATATAAAGTAAACTAGCTATGGGCAGGCACAGAAATATTGGCTGTCCTCGATATATTGCATGTCACTCTAAACTGATATGTGAAGGTCACATGACCTGGACATCTGGTCTTGTCAATTTCATGGAAATGGACTATTGTGTCCAGACTAACAAGGTTCCACTCGAAGCATTCCTGGTTCTACAGATAGGGTAATAACTGTCATTAGATAACACACATACTAGATGTAAGCTGAACAGGCACTAGACCTAAATCTCTCATTATATACAGAATCTGGTATCCTTAACATTACACAACATTAGTGACCAGGCCTGTACCTTGAAGATCATGTCAGAGTTGGAAAGGCTGCTTGTGAGTGACTGTATGGAAGTGGTGGAACGAGTGTGTGGAAAGGAATGTGAACCGTCCGACAGCCATGACTCTGAGGATGTCTGTTTCTCCACCTCTGCCCCACCGTCCTTGTCTGGGGCCGGGGCAGAGTTTCGTCGTCGGATTAACTGTGGACTTAGCTGTGGGGACAGGTTGGGTGAGGATTGGGGAACAGTAAGTCGCTCAGGGGAAGGAGCTTTCAGAGTGCTTGCCACAGCAGCAGCTGTAACATAGAGCAGCATATATAGTTACCACAGACTGGCCAGTTACTAAAATAAGTTATGAAAAATTTCAGAAAATTCAGATTAGTTTGTTTTATAAAACTTACTTGTATATTATGACAGACACTTAAGTAATTTTTGCAATGAAATTATATATTTATATATTATAGGAACTTTGTCTATAAAGAATTATTTTAACTTTTCAATAGAACTTCAAACTATGAGAAGACGATAAGAATGTAATGCTACCTAGCAAGTATAAACGTATACTAGCCAAAGACAAAGTAAACATAACAGAGTCAGATACCACCAGATTTCAGTCATACATGTATATCCTAAATATTACTGTCAATTGATCACAGCCAATTATAGAGTATATAAACTTACTGCCAAACATTATTCAGAACTACTGGTAAATGATTATCAGATGTTTTACATTTACGTGAAGTTAGAGAACCATTTATATCTCATTATCAGATCACCTTTGTGGCGAGTCAGTAATTGTACAGCAACAATTAAACCAACAATATATAAAACAGAAAACTTCAGGAAACATCTCTACAAGTTTGACCAGAGGTGATAATGAGAAACAGCTGTCTGTATAACAGTTACCCTGTTTCCTCTCTAGACTGCTGTCCTTGCGGAATTTACTCAGCAGTCCTCCAGTCTTCTGTGCAGCTCCCTCCTTTGCCTTCCTGCGCTCAGCCTCGGCCCTGGTAATGGGAATCTTCCAGGACTGAGAAGGGAAGTTACGTACCTTTGGTCCTTTCCTTTAGAGTAAAACGGTTTGAAAGATGTGAGTCATTATTCCAAAGTAATATTTAGTAAGAATATCTGTGATGACCTCTTCCTGATGATATTAAGAATCTAAAGTTAGTGTAAGACAAACCGGTCAAACCGGGCGAGTTTATTTATTCTTTGTATACTTCCATCAAAACAACTTGGACAATAGCTCACATGTAGAAACAAGATGCCCTATGGGCCTGCATCACTCACCAGGTATTAACCTCAAACTTGTAACCTTAAAATTGGACCAAGATCAAATAACATCTCAACAGACTAAATAAAGCTACAGGCTACATATCATTCCCTACATATCTTTTCCTGTGACTCCTGGACATTCAAATTCTTATTTCCAGCATATTTGACCCCTGTGACCTTGACTATGGGTGAAGCTGAATCTTTTGAATAATTTTTAACCCATTATACAAGCATGCTACTAGCCAAATATCTTCACCCTGTGAATTTTGGCTATCCAGAAAAAGTCTTTTAAAGGGTTTCAAAACATGTTGCTCCCTGTGACCTTAAACCCAATAGCTCTCCCACTCTGCATGCTACTAGGTCATCATCCTAGGTATTTTGATTATTAAGAAGAAGTTGTACATGTATAAAGTAAATAGTTGATGTCAGATGCATTGCAAAGGTCCAAAGGTTGCGGCACCACAGCATAATTAGCTCAATTGGTACTTTGGGCCAGATCAGTTAACAGTAACACAAGCCTCTGGTATTCTACCTTTTACCTTGAATTGCTTTAGTGTAACAAAAGTTGCGGATTGCTTTAGTGTAACAAAAGTTGCGGATTGCTTTAGTGTAACAAAAGTTGGCGGATTGATCATAAGTAGTGTTTGACATAGGGTGTAAGTACATTGAACGTTGTGTGTCATACAAAGTTCACTAGCTTTTAACACTGAATGCCAAGTGATTTGTCTATCCTGCTATAGCTGGCTCATTGACTATTGAATATCCAGTGACTTACCAAGCAGACTAGATTATTTAACACTGAGTGATTAACAAGGAGTGTAATATTACTTAATTTTTAAGGAATTATGCTAGTTTATGAACTAAAGACTGAATGAGTAATAAGTTAATTAACATTTTTATATGGTGAGCGACTTACAAGGTACACAGAGTCTGAGCCTGACACTTCTCCATACATTTCTTGTGACAAATTATAGAACAGGTATAACACTGGGATCCTTCTTTCAACCAAATCTGTAAATAAACAAATATGTCAGCCAAATCAGTATATAAAAAAATGATTTAACAAAATCTGTAAACAAATATGTCAGCCAAGGGTCTGTACGTGTATCACTCACCTGGATATATAAGCAAACATGGCAAAATATTCTCCAAATGAGATCCAAGGAAATATGCAAAACCCCAAGGCCAATCCTTGTAGTATATCTGTATTAGATTTTTCATGCCCAGCAATTTCATGTATGGTTTTGGAGTGGGGATCTCAACTGTTTCCAAGCTGTGACTCAGAAACTAGATTCCTAGGGTTGTGGCCAGACCTCAGGATAAATTCTAATATCATGACTGCATTCATCTCTTTATGCCTCAGCATTTGTATATATAGGTTTTGGGTGGGGATCTCAACAGTTTCAAAGTTATGACCCAGGGAATAAGTCTCCAAGGGTGGGGCAAGACCCCAGAGCCCTTCTAAAAGCAAATGTGCATTCATTTCTTTATACTCAGCCATTGTATTCCATGATTATAAGGTGGGGATCACAACCATTTCAAAGTAATAAACTTTTTTTGGCCCTACCCCTTAGCCCAGGGGTCAGCCCCACCATTTAAACAATTTTGAATCCCTGCCTCCCATGAATGCTTCCGACCAAATATGATTGATATCCATGGCAAAGCTCTACAGAAGAAGTCGTTTGTAAAAATATAGCCAAATTGCTCCCTTTTGCCACCCCTCAGCCCCCTGGAGGTTCAGCCCAACCATTTGTATAATTTTTAATCTCCACTCCCTAGGGATGCTCCCAGTCAAATATGGTTGATATCCATCTCTTAGTTCCAGGGAAGAAGTCGCTTAAAGCAGTATGGCCAAATAATCCTTGTTGGCCCGCCCCTCAGCTCCCTTAGGGGTCAGCCCCAACATTTGTACAATTTTTAAACCTCGCCTCCCATGAATGCTTCTAACCAAATATGATTGATATCCATGACATAGTTCTACAGAAGAAGTCGTTTATAGCAATATAGCCAAATTGACCCCTTTTGGCCCCGTCCCTGAGCCCCCTGGGAAGTGAGCCCCACCATTTGTACAATTTTGAATCCCCACCATCTAGGGATGCTTCCAGTCAAAATGAATTAAATTCCAATCAGTGGTTAAGAAGAAGAAGTCGTTTGAAGAAATTGTTGACGTACAGACGATGGACGACGGACGGGTGACGGACGCCATGGTATGGCATAAGCTCACCTTGGTCCTTCAGACTAGCTAAGTGAGCTAATAAAGTTTCTGAACTCAAGCATGTTAAAGCGTTGGATTAAACCATGATCTGTGTAACTTCAGCAATTGTTTTGGATGTTTGAAATATGAAAATGCTGCTATGTTTACAGTAATCAGTTTCAAAAACATGCCAGAAGCTTAATATAATACAATGGTTACCAAACACTTTTTTCAAAACATCAATAAAGATTTCCATTGTTTAATCTGTGGTCTTGATATTTCATTTATATATCTCCCTCTCCATATCACCAAACCTTCTATGCGACCAAAAAGTGGTAGGACAATTGGTTGTTCAGAATGACAACAATAATTTGCCGTCATATAATCTTACCTTCTTTCCACAAAGATCACAATAAGTTGCCGTGTTAAAATTAGTCCCAGTAAAATCATGTCGACCTTCTTCAATCCTGTCAAAAACAACCTCAAAATTATTAGTTTGAATATATAGATGCTAACAGTTTTAGTAAGATAGGTCCTTTCTATGTTGGATGTCACAGTGAACCTGTATATTTGTATATTTCATAGTTTGACTCTTCAAATACTTACAAAAATAAATACTGCCAAAGTCAACATATTTAAACATGTTTATATATACTAAATGTACATAAATCAGGCTTCTCTTCAACCATGTTGTTGTTGTTCAGATCGATCAAATCATCAGGTTGTATGGAATAACAAATCATCTCAAGAAGGAGATTCAAATTATTTTTGTTTTTATTTTAATGTTAGAAATAAAACAATTTCCAGTAGTTATTAAACAAGAGTGTTGCACTTTTTTTTAACAACCAATAAAATTTTCAATGTGACTTTCAATGACTAGTACGATATGTACACTGTCACCTTCATCAGAAAAATGACCAATCAAGCGTATGCACACAAAGTTGTAAAGTGTGTATGAGTTGCCCATAAAATCGATGTCAATTTCGGCTACGCTGGAAACATATGTAAAATAGTTGATATATATGTATCGTAATGACTCAATTCAGCTACGCTTTGTAGGGCAATGAGAACATGTGCATATCCGGAATGGGCCCTAAAACGGGTAAAAAAACAGTGTCAAAGTAAGGAGAAGAACACGAAAAGGCCAATCAAGGATAAGAACAAAACCAAAGGTCAAGTGGTCATCTCTTGTATAAAGGGTTTATCCAAAACCATCCAGAGGATATATCGCGGTCATGACATAGCAACAGCCATGAAGCCCCACCAGACGCTTTGCAATATCCTAGTATAGCCTAAGGATAAAACACCTAAAGAAAACGTGCAGAATGTGTATACAAAATTGAATGCAAAAACTGTGACGCGTCGTATATTGAAGAGACTGGAAGGCGATTTGGGGTCCACCTTGGTGAACACCGGAAAGACACAGAAACCCAAGAAGGTAGGAAATTCACCAGATCTGAAAGAAAACAGTCAGAGTCCCAGATAAATGAATCAGCAATCACAGACCATACCACACAGAAAAACCATGTGATTGATTGGGATAACTCCAAAGTTTTGGACTGAGAGAACAATCTGATCAAGCGGCAGATAAAGGAAGCCATCTGGATACGGCGCAGTGGGCCAGTTCTAAATCGAGACGATGGGGCTCAAAGACTCTCACACATCTATGACTAAGTGTTAACAAAGCTTCATTGGTCATTTGTCTGATGAAGGTGACAGTGTGCATATCATACTAGTCATCGAAACCTCACATAGAAAATTGTTTGGAATAGGGGTCTTTTTTTTCTTTTTTTTGTGTGAGATATGTCAGCATGTCATCAAAATATAATGTTTATTGTAGTATATCGATGATAATTTGTTCAGGTTTCTCTATACCTACTTTTTAATGCTGTCGGTGGCAGCCTCTTTAGCTACAGCCGGTGGTAGATCTGGAGGCAGAGATTCTGTGTGGACCTCTCCCTTCACTCTCGTCATCTTTTTCCTAACCTCATCCGACATCTTGAAAGGCTTGTGCCAAAACGCAAGAGTTATGTCCCCATTACACAGGGATGGCTCAAAACCTTTATGACTTGCAAGGTTGGAAAATTTAGCACGGCTGAAATAAATATTTAATTTGAAACAAATGAATTAGTAATAATAGTGGTTATTATGTTGTTATTGAATCCTAATTACTAAATGAATAAAGCATTAATCTCAAATTTTCAGACAGTGTTTGACATTAAATTCTCACTTGTATATATGTTAGTTTCAGTTCCTTTATTTCCAAGGGCCATCCCACTCATAGGTTAAATGTCAACCAATTACATCATGTGTATAACCTGATGTGGCTCTTTTATATTTCGTAGTACCGGTAGATGTATGCAATATCATGTAAAACGATCCTTTATGTGACAGGTAAATAACTGTTAACTTGATTTGTTTACTTTTTACTTAATTATCATTTTATGTGCATATTCATCTTATGATGACATTATGTGTTTGACATTGATGTATACGTAGAAGTGTTCATTTAATGAGTGGGTAAAACCATATTTGACAAAGATGATATTCAGCCAAACTCTCGGGGCCATTTCTCAACCACATTTTAATTTATCATTTTTTTCTTACATGAATAAAATTTCATTGTTAATTTCATTATCAATTAACTTCAAAATAGCATGAATGCAATATTTTCTTACTTAAGAAAAATCCAGCAGTTTCTCCATTTCTGTTTTTTTTATAAAATGAATTTCACCAAATACAGTATGGCAAACATAGGCCTAAACAATAGGCACATGGAGACGAAATCTTTTACTTCTTTTCTTAATACAGATGACTATACATTTCATTGTTAAAAAAGTTTGTATCTTATCTATAGTAGTTCACATTTATTAATCTCGTTTTTCTTTTCTATCATCTAGCTCAAGCTATTTTGCCATTGATCTGGACCCCTTGGATTTGAATAAGTTGGGGTTTTACACTATACAGTAACACCTGCCTCTACTTTCTTCTACAACATTGTATATATATACAACTATATAATAGAGTTTATGGGTTAAAGAAGAAATATTAATAGTAAGATCCCATATAGCACTGGGTCCTTACAAACGTATGTTTGTAGGAAACAAAATATTAAAATTGATATATTAGGCAGAGAGGTAATCACAATACTCAATAGTGTAGGCAATATTACAAGGTAATCAAATTTTCAGAGCCATCTATTTCTTTATCAAGACACAGGAAGATTAATTTATAATTTTTAAAAACAATATTCCCCTCATGTTTATATTATGCATGAATAACCTAAAGACGGGCGAAAGTTCTAGTGAGATTTAGTATTCAGTATTTTGTTAAATTTATACGTACTATACATAATATACGTGCCACAATATCAAACAACTTATGATAGCTTCTAATTGTTGTCTTATCTACACCACTAAAGAACGCTGAGATTGTATTCTTAATTCATGAATCCAAGATTCAGTAGTAAGAAAGCTTTGGTCACTAAACACAGATACGCTATGTAACTAACGAAGAACAAACCTTGCCCCAGCCCTTGGGTCTGCGTGTACTAGAGGAATGGTATGCTGGGAGTCTCCCTGTGTGGTCATCAAACAGTCGAGACATATATCCGGTACCGGTAGACTCACCTACAATAAATATCCTACTTCACTCTGAGGACAATATACGTCAACCTAAACTACACTCACATACAATAAATATCATACCTCACTCTGAGGACAATATACGTCAACCTAAACTACACTCGCCTACAATAAATATCATACCTCACTCTGAGGATAATATACGTCAACCTAAACTACACTCACCTACAATAAATATCATACTTCACTCTGAGGACAATATACATCAACCTAAACTACACTCACATACAATAAATATCATACTTCACTCTGAGGACAATACACGTCAACCTAAACTACACTCACCTACAATAAATATCATACTTCTCTCTGAGGACAATATACGTCAACCTAAACTACACTCGCCTACAATAAATATCATACCTCACTCTGAGGACAATATACGTCAACCTAAACTACACTAACCTACAATAAATACCATACTTCACTCTGAGGACAATATACGTCAACATAAACTACACTCACCTACAATAAATATCATACTTCTCTCTGAGGACAATATACGTCAACCTAAACTACACTCACCTACAATAAATATTATACTTCACTCTGAGGACAATATACGTCAACATAAACTACACTCACCTACAATAAATATCATACTTCACTCTGAGGACAATATATATCAACCTAAACTACACTCACCTACAATAAATATCATAACTCTGAGGACAATATACGTCAACCTAAACTACACTCACCTACAATAAATATCATACCTCACTCTGAGGATAATACACGTCAACCTTAACTACACTCAACTACAATAAATATCATACCTCACTCTGAGGAAAATATACGTCAACCTAAACTACACCCACCTACAATAAATATCATAACTCTGAGGACAATATACGTCAACCTAAACTCCACTCACCTACAATAAATATCATACTTCACTCTGAGGAAAATATACGTCAACCTAAACTACACCCACCTACAATAAATATCATAACTCTGAGGACAATATACGTCAACCTAAACTACTCTCACCTACAATAAATATCATACCTCACTCTGAGGACAATATACGTCAACCTAAACTACTCTCACCTACAATAAATATCATAACTCTGAGGACAATATACGTCAACCTAAACTACTCTCACCTACAATAAATATCATACCTCACTCTGAGGATAATACACGTCAACCTTAACTACACTCAACTACAATAAATATCATACCTCACTCTGAGGATAATACACGTCAACCTTAACTACGCTCAACTACAATAAATATCATACCTCACTCTGAGGAAAATATACGTCAACCTAAACTACACTCACCTACAATAAATATTATACTTCACTCTGAGGACAATATACGTCAACATAAACTACACTCACCTACAATAAATATCATACCTCACTCTGAGGACACTATACGTCAACCTAAACTACACTCACCTACAATAAATATCATAACTCTGAGGACAATATACGTCAACCTAAACTACACTCACCTACAATAAATATTATACTTCACTCTGAGGACAATATACGTCAACCTAAACTCCACTCACCTACAATAAATATCATACTTCACTCTGAGGATAATATACGTCAACCTAAACTACACTCATCTACAATAAATATCATACTTCACTCTGAGGACAATACACGTCAACCTAAACTACACTCACCTACAATAAATATCATACCTCACTCTGAGGACACTATACGTCAACCTAAACTACACTCACCTACAATAAATATCATACTTCACTCTGAAGATAATATACATCAACCTAAACCACACTCACCTACAATAAATATCAGAAAGTACAATGAAGTAGTGGTAAGAATATGATTATACTATACTGAAACAGTGGAAACCTTTGCATGTACAATTGGCTATTTTCATCAATCTGCAATGAGTTATTTTCCTGATTATTTTTAATGACATGTTTGACAGGATTTGAATATGCAAAAGGAACTTCAACTGTCATCAGTTCATATTTATTGTGACCAAACAATCATGACATATTGGAACTCGCAACTATCCCTTCTTGCCAGGTTTGTGTACCTATCTATAAAAGAACTGAACGACCTTACATCCCCTTGTTTACACACTTACATGTCCCAGCAGAATCTCCTTGCCTGGTTTAATAACTCTGTCATGTTTGTCCAGTTTGGGAGGAATTTTACACCAGACACACACATTGAGGTAACAGTCATCCTTATCCACATGTAGCATAAACTTCTCATTCCATTTTGGGTTCTGAAAAGTTGTATATTTAAACATATATCAGTGTTTTATAACTAATATACTGACAACTAGAATTGTGTTTTTGTGAACAAAAACATATGTCTCCCCTTATAAGCCAATAGAAAAACTCTGGTATAACAAATTAGCAAAGGGCCATATCGCTTTATACAGTGGGGCACTAGACCCGAATTTAGAATGCGACACTCCTACTTCCCAAGCTACATTAAAACTTTAGCAAGTTTGGTCAACGTAGGTGAAATAACATGAAAGTTATACTGTGGACAAACTTCCGTATCAAAATTAAACAAAGGGCCATAACACTGTATATAGTGATGCACGAGACCTAAAACCAGTGCATTGCACACCTTCTGTGAGTGATGCAGGTACACTTTAAGTTTGATTATAATATGTTTAATGGTTTAGAAGTTATGCAGTGGACAAACTTCAGTATTAAAAATAAACAAAGGGCCATAACTCTGTATATAGTGGGGCATAAAATCTGATTTTAGTGTGAGAATTTCCGCCTTCTCAAGAAACATAAATATGGTAAGTATGGTCAACGTAGGTGAAATAAAATGAAACTTATGCTAAGGACAAACTTCGGTATTAAAATTAAACAAAGGGCCATAACTCTGTATATAGTGGGGCATGAGATCTAGTTCCAGTGCACTGCACACCTTCTGTGGGTGATGCAGGTATGCTTCAAGTTTGATTAAGATATCTTTAATGGTTTAGAAGTTATGCCATGGACAAACTTTGGTATTAAAAATAAACAAAGGGCCATAACTCTGTCCATAGTGGGGCACAAAACCTGATTTTAGTTTGAGAGATTCCGCCTTTCCAATATACATAAATATGATAAGTATGGTTAACGTAGGTGAAATAACATGGAACTTCTGCTCTGGACAAACTTCTGTATAAAAAATTAAACAAAGGGCCATAACTTTGTATATAGTGAAACATGAGACCTAATTCTATTGCACTACACACCTTCTGTGGGTGATGCAGATATAGCTCAAGCTTGAACAAGATATCTTTAATGGTTCGAAATGTACGGGCTGGACAAGAATTTACTGAAAATGTGCACTTATTTGTCCTTTGACCTTGAGGTGAAGGTCAAAGTGAACTAATTTCAGTGCACTGCACACCTCCTGTGGTTGATGCATGCATACCTAAAGTTTCATTAAGACATCTTTAACGGTTTAAAAGTTATGGCCCGGACAAGTTTGATTAGAAGAACCAGAAGAAGAAGAAGATGAAGAAGAAGAAGAACCAGTACTAATACAATGTCTCCCATCATTCGAAGGGGAGACATAGTAATGCCATCACAACAGCATTTAATACTGGACTTGTATGCTTATAGTAGTGTCTCTAAGAGTCTTACGACAAGTGAGTTTTACATGTCTTAGAACAATGCTCTTACATGAATTCTTTTGTGGTGCAGAATCTTTGTGATTACAGCTGAAGCAACAATATTAGAGCAGAAATGTATACTACCGATAGGCACCTTTGAGCGTTGACATTAGTACCAAATACAAATGAGAGCTGACATAACAAAACATACCTGTCGAGAGGCGACCTCTTCTGTCTTGTGCTTGTCACATGACTGGTCATCCTGATCAGGTAAATCCTCTCCGTCACTACCTCCATCGTCGTCAAGGTCATCCTGTACCTGTTTGGAAAATACCATAAATGTGACAACTGCCATTAAATATCACCAGTTACAGCAAATTTTATAACCATTAAACATCATATACATTTGTACCTAACCACCACCATTACATTAACTAGTTGCTGCATGTCCATAACCAATCGAAATTTCTGGTGATAAAATACTGAAATAGTTTAAAAAATTAAGTGCTCTAGGAATTATTTTTGATTTTCATGGCAAATTTTTGTACTGATAAAACTTGATTTTTAGAAAGAATTTACATGTTTACAAACACAAACAATTAAAAGATGTGTATATTGATACAATATCCTTAAATTTATTTTATCCTTTACAACATAATGTATAGGTACCGTATTTATCCTTTACAACATAATGTATAGGTACCGTATTTTCATTAACAACACATTATTCCAACTTAAGCCACAGTACAAGAAATAAGAGATAATACCGTAATGAGTGATGTGTCACTATGGGCTCGCTGCCTTGCAGACTTGAGGTTGGCCTCCTTCCGGGGAGAGGATGATGCAGACTGGGTATGAGTTAATACCTTGGGAGTTCGAGCAGATGTCTCCACCGCTGAGGAAGATAAGGAAGCACTGACCTTGTCTCCATCTATTTGACCTTTCACCTTCCTCTGTAATAATGCTTTCCCTGTGTTTACCAACGACATGACCCCTTGTTTCTGTGACATTTTTTCTGCTGTGTCCTTGAACCCCACTTGACCTTGTTTTTCTGTAACATCTTTGACTCCTGGTTTAACTTTCTTGTCCTCATAGTCTGCTAGTTTGAAGCTGATGTGTACAAAGTCCTCCGTTTGGTCACTTGACTTTTCTTGTCCAACGGAATCACCATCTACATCCTTAAACAAGAGGAGGCAGACTATCAGTGATGGTTAGTGAAGAATTGAAAAAAAGGTAGCCGATCAGAGGGTTTACTGACAGAAAAATATTGACAAAGAGGTAGCCAATCTGTGAAAGTTTGTTGACAAACAATAATTGACAAAGAGGTAGCCAATCTGTGAAAGTTTGTTGACAAACAATAATTGACAAAGAGGTAGCCAATCTGTGAAAGTTTGTTGACAAACAATAATTGACAAAGAGGTAGCCAATCTGTGAAAGTTTGTTGACAAACAATAATTGACAAAGAGGTAGCCAATCTGTGAAAGTTTGTTGACAAACAATAATTGACAAAGAGGTAGCCAATCTGTGAAAGTTTGTTGACAAACAAGATTGCAATACCAACTCATTACTACAGGCTCTGATCAATAGCAAAACTAACTGTCATGAAACACAACAAATTAATTATAATATCTGAGATTCATACTTAATATCTGACTGTTCCCCTGTCTTTTAAGAATGAAGCCATTATTGTGTGTAGACGATAAAGATTGTTACCAACGACAGGAATGTCTCCTCAGTTTGTGGTACATCCTGGTACTGCTGACCTTTGGACTTGGGTCTCTCTATACGGACAGTAAACCTACAACAGAACATAGGAGCAGGAGTCAGACGTCCATAGAGAACAAAAATACATGTCATACATTTTCAGAAAACAAGAATAGCTTTACGAGGGGAAGATTTTTTAATCAGGTAAAATTATCCTCAGGCAACTCTCTGAAATGTATTTCTCTGGTAATGCAATGGCAGCCTGTTTATCGATGGCAGTCTGTTTATCAATGGCAGTCTGTTTATCAATGGCAGTCTGTTTATCAATTAAATTTAAAATGTATTCACAAAGAGAGATAATTCAATATAATATATTTATAGACAATTAGTTAAGGAAGGTATAGCGTTTGTTGTTCCTTTCACAAACTGAAATCATTGTGAGCATGTCTCTGGAAAAGCAATGGCAGACATACACATGTACATGGAAATTAAGAAATTTACAGTTATTTGCTTAGCAAATTAAGATTGTTGCCTAGTCTGGAATGAATTATTCTTCAGAAACTAAAGAATATTGATAATCAGTGATATTACCAATAAGCAAAGCAACTAAAGAAAACTTGACAATGAAATTCTGTTTCTTCCTTGAAGAAGTCCTCAGAACATGAAATCCTATTGAAGAAGAGTTGATAAAAATAAACCAGTAAACACATACCTGTCTCCAGCATTCTTAAATAGTTTTTTGGCCTGTTTAGATGAGGTAACCCGTGAAGTTCCCACACTGACAAGGATGTCTCCCTACAACCAGACAGGAACAAACATCAAACAACCAACTACTTATCTACCTTACAAAGGGACAATACAGTTGTTTCTAATGATCCTTTATAATCAATCTTACACAAATTATTTAATTAAATATAAAAGTTGAATTTATTCTAACAAACATTTTTATTAATAAATTAGATCTACTTCTTTGTACATGCTCCATCATACCTTTTTTATTTAGGGGATAGTACGTTGTTTCGAGTGGTTATACTGGCGAGAGCTCGATCTGTATGTTGACGAAGCGGAATATTTGGATTGTTCGTGAACGTCCTATTACCAAAGTTTATACGACACATTTGGATTAATATTGAGTTCTTAAATTTCCATGTCAGTACGCATACAAATCTGTGCTTATCAACAAAATCAGTGATTATTTGTATAGATTTGTGAAGAGTTTTGTGTAAATGCATACGACACATGTGAAATGTTTCATTTGATTTCGGATCTAAATAGATGCCTTCACACGGATGGAACAAACGTTTCAGTAATAAATGGAGGTAAGAACAAGGAATGTGTACTTTTTACTTTTTAATTCATTCAACAAATACATTTCATCGGTCGTTTCTGTTCTGTTGCCTGCTAGCCTTATCAGCAGGAATTTCGCTAAGAGGCAAGCTTGACGCCATATTGTTTTGGTTAGGAACGGGTTGTGGCTTAAGTGAGATGGGAGGAGCTTAACACGATTGATCATGATTCTATCGCAGATTAGAACATGGTCCGTATCCAATCAAAACACGCGTTGCAAACGAATCGTGTTAGAATCAATATTAAAACATAATATAAACATGGACAAACTCCCTGTGTCTTTGACCTAATCGAATCTACAAAGGGTTCTATAAGTTTTAAATATGATGTACCATGTGTACTTTTAAATACAGTTACTGGTATAGGCAAAGGAAATTCAGCAAAGTATCTTCTATAATACAATTGTACCATGTTTATCACAATTTTATTAACATGTTTTATAATAAACAACACTTTGTGATTTGATCAAAGCAAGGTTTAACAACAGTGAAACTCTAATAGAATATTAACTATCTCTTATTTCTCATTAAGAAATGGTGTCAAAGCTATTTGCCAGAATATTGAAATAGACGACAGCCATGTTCCTGCTTTACCTTTCTGCCAAAGTACTCAGCAGATACCTATATACTCACCTTTCTAACATCTGCCATGGCAGCCGGTGATTTAGGTACAACACTATCCACTACCACCACATCCTCATACTTCTCCAGCAGGAAGTCCTGTCAGGATTACAGTAGTGTATCACCCAAACATCCAAAATAACCTTACAATAATGGTGTGGAATGCCAAATATATCCTATACATGTACCACACTTTTATATCATACCTTCCATTGTTTTCATTATGAAATATGTAAATTTCTGTAAATAACTGAAAATGGCATTAATGCTGAATTTTTCCCTAGAAACCTTGGCTGAATACCAATGGTGGAGAAAACAATGAGAAATGGAATAATGATGTCACCTTGGGAAATATTCCGTCATAGCGCTGATCCTAGATCTCTTGGTTATGCAGAAGAGCTTTTTGAAAACTTTTAACACATTTGACTTTGAAAGTAAGCCAAGGTCATTCACTTGAACAAACTAGATAACCTTTCATCTTAGCATATGCTACAGACCAAATATCATGACCATCAGCCTCTTGGTTATTCAGAAGAAGTTGTTCAAATGTTTAAACATATTTGACCCCAGGAAATATCATTGTTTTACCCAGTAGGCATATTGGTTATTCAAAGGAAGTCAATTGAAGTGACCATTGGCCCATGGGGCCTGATATTTATATTTGCACTAATCTTGTATTATACTTTGTACACCAGAACTGATCCTGACCACATTAGCTCTCAACTTACTTCCAGAGATTCTAATGGGCTTTGAAATCCTTACCTCCTTCATATTCAGTCCTATGGAGGTTGTAGGCACTGTGGCAATCTCAATGTCCAAAACATCCCATACTTTCTTCTGTAGCTCCACTAACTCCGACCACTGCATGTTGTCTGAAATAACAGGAAGAGATAGGTCATTGTACATCGTTATGTACTGAGTACAGTGCAGTGTGTCATTGTACATCCTTATGTACTGAGTACAGTGCATTGTGTCATTGTACACCCCAATCTACTGTGTACAGTGCAGTGTGTCTTTGTATGCCCCAATCTACTGTGTACAGTGCAGTGTGTCATTGTACGCCCCAATCTACAGAGCATAGTGCATTGTGTCATTGTACGCCCCAATCTACTGTGTACAGTGTATTGTGTCATTGTACACCCCAATCTACTGTGTACAGTGCATTGTGTCATTGTACGCCCCAATCTACTGAGTACAGTGCAGTGTGTTATTGTATGCCCCAATCTACTGAGAATGGTGCAGTGTGTCATTGTACACCTCAATCTACTGTGTACAGTGCAGTGTGTCATTGTACACCTCAACCTACTGAGTACAGTGCAGTGTGTCATTGTACGCCCCAATCTACTGAGAATAGTGCAGTGTGTCATTGTACACCTCAATATACTGTGTACAGTGCAGTGTGTCATTGTGTGTTATTGTATGCCCCAATCTACTGAGAATAGTGCAGTGTGTCATTGTACACCTCAATATACTGTGTACAGTGCAGTGTGTCATTGTTTGCCCAATCTACTGTGTACAGTGCAATGGGTCATTGTACACCCCAATCTACTGAGTACAGTGAATTGTTCATTGTACACCCCAATCTACTGTGTACCGTGCAGTGTGTCATTGTACACCCCAATCTACTGTGTACAGTGCAGTGTGTTTTTGTCACCCCAATCTACTGTGTACAGTGCATTGTGTCATTGTACGCCCCAATCTACTGTGTACAGTGCAGTGTGTCATTGTATGCCCAATCTACTGTGTACAGTGCAATGTGTCATTGTACACCCCAATCTACTGTGTACAGTGCAGTGTGTCATTGTATGCCCCAATCTACTGTGTACAGTGCAGTGTGTCATTGTACACCCCAATCTAATGTGTACAGTGCAGTGTGTCATTGTACACCCCAATCTACTGAGTACAGTGCAGTGTGTCTTTGTACACCCCAATCTACTGTGTACAGTGCAGTGTGTCATTGTACACCCCAATCTACTGAGTACAGTGCAGTGTGTCTTTGTACACCCCAATCTACTGTGTACAGTGCAGTGTGTCATTGTACACCCCAATCTACTGAGTACAGTGCAGTGTGTCATTGTACACCCCAATCTACTGTGTACAGTGCAGTGTGTCATTGTACACCCCAATCTACTGTGTACAGTGCAGTGTGTCATTGTACACCCCAATCTACTGTGTACAGTGCAGTGTGTCATTGTACACCCCAATCTACTGTGTACAGTGCAGTGTGTCATTGTACACCCCAATCTACTGTGTACAGTGCAGTGTGTCATTGTACACCCCAATCTACTGTGTACAGTGCAGTGTGTCATTGTACACCCCAATCTACTGTGTACAGTGCAGTGTGTCATTGTACACCCCAATCTACTGTGTACAGTGCAGTGTGTCATTGTACACCCCAATCTACTGTGTACAGTGCAGTGTGTCATTGTACACCCCAATCTACTGTGTACAGTGCAGTGTGTCATTGTACACCCCAATCTACTGTGTACAGTGCAGTGTGTCATTGTACACCCCAATCTACTGTGTACAGTGCAGTGTGTCATTGTACACCCCAATCTACTGTGTACAGTGCAGTGTGTCATTGTACACCCCAATCTACTGTGTACAGTGCAGTGTGTCATTGTACACCCCAATCTACTGTGTACAGTGCAGTGTGTCATTGTACACCCCAATCTACTGTGTACAGTGCAGTGTGTCATTGTACACCCCAATCTACTGTGTACAGTGCAGTGTGTCATTGTACACCCCAATCTACTGTGTACAGTGCAGTGTGTCATTGTACACCCCAATCTACTGTGTACAGTGCAGTGTGTCATTGTACACCCCAATCTACTGTGTACAGTGCAGTGTGTCATTGTACACCCCAATCTACTGTGTACAGTGCAGTGTGTCATTGTACACCCCAATCTACTGTGTACAGTGCAGTGTGTCATTGTACACCCCAATCTACTGTGTACAGTGCAGTGTGTCATTGTACACCCCAATCTACTGTGTACAGTGCAGTGTGTCATTGTACACCCCAATCTACTGTGTACAGTGCAGTGTGTCATTGTACACCCCAATCTACTGTGTACAGTGCAGTGTGTCATTGTACACCCCAATCTACTGTGTACAGTGCAGTGTGTCATTGTACACCCCAATCTACTGTGTACAGTGCAGTGTGTCATTGTACACCCCAATCTACTGTGTACAGTGCAGTGTGTCATTGTACACCCCAATCTACTGTGTACAGTGCAGTGTGTCATTGTACACCCCAATCTACTGTGTACAGTGCAGTGTGTCATTGTACACCCCAATCTACTGTGTACAGTGCAGTGTGTCATTGTACACCCCAATCTACTGTGTACAGTGCAGTGTGTCATTGTACACCCCAATCTACTGTGTACAGTGCAGTGTGTCATTGTACACCCCAATCTACTGTGTACAGTGCAGTGTGTCATTGTACACCCCAATCTACTGTGTACAGTGCAGTGTGTCATTGTACACCCCAATCTACTGTGTACAGTGCAGTGTGTCATTGTACACCCCAATCTACTGTGTACAGTGCAGTGTGTCATTGTACACCCCAATCTACTGTGTACAGTGCAGTGTGTCATTGTACACCCCAATCTACTGTGTACAGTGCAGTGTGTCATTGTACACCCCAATCTACTGTGTACAGTGCAGTGTGTCATTGTACACCCCAATCTACTGTGTACAGTGCAGTGTGTCATTGTACACCCCAATCTACTGTGTACAGTGCAGTGTGTCATTGTACACCCCAATCTACTGTGTACAGTGCAGTGTGTCATTGTACACCCCAATCTACTGTGTACAGTGCAGTGTGTCATTGTACACCCCAATCTACTGTGTACAGTGCAGTGTGTCATTGTACACCCCAATCTACTGTGTACAGTGCAGTGTGTCATTGTACACCCCAATCTACTGTGTACAGTGCAGTGTGTCATTGTACACCCCAATCTACTGTGTACAGTGCAGTGTGTCATTGTACACCCCAATCTACTGTGTACAGTGCAGTGTGTCATTGTACACCCCAATCTACTGTGTACAGTGCAGTGTGTCATTGTACACCCCAATCTACTGTGTACAGTGCAGTGTGTCATTGTACACCCCAATCTACTGTGTACAGTGCAGTGTGTCATTGTACACCCCAATCTACTGTGTACAGTGCAGTGTGTCATTGTACACCCCAATCTACTGTGTACAGTGCAGTGTGTCATTGTACACCCCAATCTACTGTGTACAGTGCAGTGTGTCATTGTACACCCCAATCTACTGTGTACAGTGCAGTGTGTCATTGTACACCCCAATCTACTGTGTACAGTGCAGTGTGTCATTGTACACCCCAATCTACTGTGTACAGTGCAGTGTGTCATTGTACACCCCAATCTACTGTGTACAGTGCAGTGTGTCATTGTACACCCCAATCTACTGTGTACAGTGCAGTGTGTCATTGTACACCCCAATCTACTGTGTACAGTGCAGTGTGTCATTGTACACCCCAATCTACTGTGTACAGTGCAGTGTGTCATTGTACACCCCAATCTACTGTGTACAGTGCAGTGTGTCATTGTACACCCCAATCTACTGTGTACAGTGCAGTGTGTCATTGTACACCCCAATCTACTGTGTACAGTGCAGTGTGTCATTGTACACCCCAATCTACTGTGTACAGTGCAGTGTGTCATTGTACACCCCAATCTACTGTGTACAGTGCAGTGTGTCATTGTACACCCCAATCTACTGTGTACAGTGCAGTGTGTCATTGTACACCCCAATCTACTGTGTACAGTGCAGTGTGTCATTGTACACCCCAATCTACTGTGTACAGTGCAGTGTGTCATTGTACACCCCAATCTACTGTGTACAGTGCAGTGTGTCATTGTACACCCCAATCTACTGTGTACAGTGCAGTGTGTCATTGTACACCCCAATCTACTGTGTACAGTGCAGTGTGTCATTGTACACCCCAATCTACTGTGTACAGTGCAGTGTGTCTTTGTACATCCCAATCTACTGTGTACAGTGCATTGTGTCATTGTACGCCCCAATCTACTGTGTACAGTACAGTGTGTCATTGTACACCCCAATCTACTGTGTACCGTGCAGTGTGTCATTGTACACCCTAATCTACTGAGTACAGTGTATTGTGTCATTGTACACCCCAATCTACTGAGTACCGTGCAGGGTGTCATTGTACACCCCAATCTACTGTGTATAGTACAGTGTATTGTTCATTCTACACCCCAATCTACTGTGTACAGTGTATTGTGTTATTGTACACCCCAATCTACTGTGTACAGTGTATTGTGTTATTGTACACCCCAATCTACTGTGTACAGTGCAGTGTGTCATTGTACACCCTAATCTACTGAGTACAGTGCAGTATGTCTTTGTAGACCCAAATCTACTGTGTACAGTGCAGTGTGTCATTGTACACCCCAATCTACTGTGTACAGTGCATTGTGTCATTGTACGCCCCAATCTACTGTGTACAGTGCATTGTGTCATTGTACACCCCAATCTACTGTGTACAGTGCATTGTGTCATTGTACGCCCCAATCTACTGTGTACAGTGCATTGTGTCATTGTACACCCCAATCTACTGTGTACAGTGCATTGTGTCATTGTACGCCCCAATCTACTGTGTACAGTGCATTGTGTCATTGTACACCCCAATCTACTGTGTACAGTGCATTGTGTCATTGTACGCCCCAATCTACTGTGTACAGTGCATTGTGTCATTGTACACCCCAATCTACTGTGTACAGTGCATTGTGTCATTGTACGCCCCAATCTACTGTGTACAGTGCATTGTGTCATTGTACACCCCAATCTACTGTGTACAGTGCATTGTGTCATTGTACGCCCCAATCTACTGTGTACAGTGCATTGTGTCATTGTACACCCCAATCTACTGTGTACAGTGCATTGTGTCATTGTACGCCCCAATCTACTGTGTACAGTGCATTGTGTCATTGTACACCCCAATCTACTGTGTACAGTGCATTGTGTCATTGTACGCCCCAATCTACTGTGTACAGTGCATTGTGTCATTGTACACCCCAATCTACTGTGTACAGTGCATTGTGTCATTGTACGCCCCAATCTACTGTGTACAGTGCATTGTGTCATTGTACACCCCAATCTACTGTGTACAGTGCATTGTGTCATTGTACGCCCCAATCTACTGTGTACAGTGCATTGTGTCATTGTACACCCCAATCTACTGTGTACAGTGCAGTGTGTCATTGTACACCCCAATCTACTGTGTACAGTGTATTGTGTCATTGTACGCCCCAATCTACTGTGTACAGTGCATTGTGTCATTGTACACCCCAATCTACTGTGTACAGTGCAGTGTGTCATTGTACACCCCAATCTACTGTGTACAGTGTATTGTGTCATTGTACGCCCCAATCTACTGTGTACAGTGCATTGTGTCATTGTACACCCCAATCTACTGTGTACAGTGCAGTGTGTCATTGTACACCCCAATCTACTGTGTACAGTGTATTGTGTCATTGTACACCCCAATCTACTGTGTACAGTGTATTGTGTCATTGTACACCCCAATCTACTGTGTACAGTGCATTGTGTCATTGTACGCCCCAATGTACTGTGTACAGTGCATTGTGTCATTGTACACCCCAATCTACTGAGTACAGTGCATTGTGTCATTGTACGCCCCAATATACTGAGTACAGTGTATTGTGTGATTGTACGCCCCAATGTACTGTGTACAGTGCATTGTGTCATTGTACGCCCCAATATACTGAGTACAGTGTATTGTGTCATTGTACACCCCAATCTACTGAGTACAGTGCAGTGTGTCATTGTACACCCCAATCTACTGAGTACAGAGTATTGTGTCATTGTACACCCCAATCTACTGTGTACAGTGTATTTTTCATTGTACACCCCAATCTACTGAGTACAGTGTATTGTGTCATTGTACACCCCAATCTACTGTGTACAGTGGATTTTTCATTGTACACCCCAATCTACTGAGTACAGTGCATTGTGTCATTGTACACCCCAACCTACTGAGTCCAGTGTATTGTGTCATTGTACGCCCCAATCTACAGTGTACAGTGCATTGTGTCATTGTACGCCCCAATCTACTGAGTACAGTGTATTGTGTCTTTGTACGCCCCAATCTACTGTGTACAGTGCATTGTGTCACTGTACGCCCCAATCTACTGTGTACGGTGCATTGTGTCATTGTACACCCCAATCTACTGAGTACAGAGTATTGTGTCATTGTAGACCCCAATCTACTGTGTACAGTGTATTTTTCATTGTCCACCCCAATCTACTGAGTACAGTGTATTGTGTCATTGTATGCCCCAATCTACTGTGTACAGTGCATTGTGTCACTGTACGCCCCAATCTACTGTGTACGGTGCATTGTGTCATTGTACACCCCAATCTACTGAGTACAGTGCATTGTGTCATTGTACACCCCAATCTACTGAGTACAGGGCAGTGTGTCATTGTACACCCCAATCTACTGTGTACAGTGCATTGTGTCATTGTACCCCCCAATCTACTGAGTACAGTGTATTGTGTCTTTGTACGCCCCAATCTACTGTGTACAGTGCATTGTGTCATTGTACCCCACAATCTTCTGAGTAGAGTGCAGTGTCATTGTACACCCCAATCTACTGTGTACAGTGCATTGTGTCATTGTACGCCCCAATGTACTGTGTACAGTGCATTGTGTCATTGTACGCCCCAATGTACTGTGTACAGTGCATTGTGTCATTGTACACCCCAATCTACTGAGTACAGTGCAGTGTGTCATTGTACACCCCAATCTACTCAGTACAGTGCAGTGTGTCATTGTACATCCTGATGTACTGAGTACAGTGCATTGTGTCAAAAATAATGTTAAGTCAAATAAACTTCTTTGACAGTTAAAGAATTCCAGAACACCAGAAAATCTTTGTTTGTACCTTAAATCCTACTATTCTTTCCCACATAATTTTTTTAAGAATTGAAAGCCTGTGAAAAGACATGAGCCAAAACTGCAAAAAAAAAACATTTTCTTTTACAACACGATTAAGTATTTATGATTATCATACCTAAAGACAGTGTACAGTACAGCTGACAGTTGGCCGGTACCTCAGTGATGGACAGACGGCTACACTCTACGATCGTCACCTGTAGCTGACCTTCACCTATTCTGTTACCATGGATTCGCAATTCCTTCACAGGTTTAAATTCCTCTGGGCGGTCAAAGAAGGGTCGAAATCTCATCTTGTAATTTGGCAATATGTGTTTCTTTCTTAATGATCTCTTTATCTGCATAATACAACAAAACAAGTAATTATGAAGTCAATATATTAAATCACAAAAAAATCTTACTTAATTCTTTGCAAATGTACTCAAGCACTAAGTGTAACTGCAACATTAAAAAGATTGGAATCATTCTTAAACAACCACTTTATTGGTGTATTCACTTTTCATAAGACAATATAATTTATAAATCTGTTGGAAGCAAATGAAATAAACTTTGTTGGAGTGTGATGTACATACCCCTGGTATGTATATGGTGACAGAATCCTAAAGGGATCACCAAACCTTCCTTTTCTTCATTCATTGAAAATTCAGTGGAGGAACTTTATTAATTGTTGTATCAAAGAAGAATATGGATTGGTGTTCTTGCCAACAAAAAAACATCCAGGGCTCACGCTAGACATTTATAGAACACTCTGATGTCACTATTTAGCGCTTCCAGGTTTTGCAAATGTCAGTACCCAAAACGGATCATGACTTTATCTTGGCAATATTTTGCTCTTCAAATGAACATTTCTCTATCATTATTTTAGCATTCAAATGAAGACCTTTGGAATTTGTATGAACACAACTATTTCTACAGTCTGAATTTATTCCTTAAGTCCAAAACAAAATACATCGTCCTTGTACACACCATTTTTATTAAACAAAAAACTAGATTTTGAGTTTGAAATACACCTTCTGATGCTATTTGAACCTAAAAATTAATCATCTATAGACACATAAAATGATGCTTAACTATGTATCCTAATGCTAAATCATTGTAATAACTTCACCCTTTGGGTACCCATCCCATTTGGGTACTGCCTCCTCATACTTCGCTGGATCTTAATACATTCCAACAGGCATATTCATTTTATTGATTAAAAACAATAAAAGTAATGGCACAAGTACTTTTAACTCACAAACCTCTCCTCAAAAACTGTCTGTTCTGACATTAGCAATGATTTGTGGGAGAGCTTTGTCACCATATCTGGAGTCTATACTGACCTGGGCGATGATTACAGTGACGTGATTTGAGGGAGAGCTTTGTCTTCTCATCACCTGTCTATACTGACCTGAGTGATGACTAGTGACGTGATTTGCGGGAGAGCTTTGTCTCCTCATTACCTGTCTATACTGACCTGTGTGATGACTAGTGATGTGATTTGAGGGACAGCTTTGTTTCCTTATTACCTGTCTATACTGACCTGAGTGATGACTAGTGATGTGATTTGAGGGAGAGTTTTGTCACCTCATCACCTCTCTATACTGACCTGTGTGATGACTAGTGATGTGATTTGAGGGACAGCTTTGTTTCCTTATTACCTGTCTATACTGACCTGAGTGATGACTAGTGACGTGATTTGCGGGATAGCTTTGTCTCCTCATTACCTGTCTATACTGACCTGTGTGATGACTAGTGATGTGATTTGAGGGAGAGATTTGTCACCTCATCACCTCTCTATACTGACCTGTGTGATGACTAGTGACGTGACTTGAGGGAAAGATTTGTCACCTTATTACCTGTCTATACTGACCTGAGTGATGACTAGTGAGGTTATTTAAGGGACATCTTTGTCTCCTCATCACCTCTCTATACTGACCTGGGTGATGACTGGTGACGTGATTTAAGGGAGGGTTTTGTTTCCTTATTACCTGTCTATACTGACCTGAGTGATGACTAGTGAGGTGATTTAAAGGAGAGATTTGTCTCCTTATTACCAGTCTATACTGACCTGTGTGATGACTAGTGATGTGATTTGAGGGAGAGATTTGTCACCTCATCACCTCTCTATACTGACCTGTGTGATGACTAGTGACGTGATTTGAGGGAGAGCTTTGTCAGCTCATCACCTCTCTATACTGACCTGTGTGATGACTAGTGACGTGATTTGAGGGAGAGTTTTGTCTCCTCATCACCTCTCTATACTGACTTGTGTGATGACTAGTGACGTGATTTGGGGGAGAGCTTTGTCTCCTCATCACCTCTCTATACTGACCTGTGTGATGACTAGTGATGTGATTTGAGGGAGAGATTTGTCACCTCTTCACCTGTCTATACTGACCTGAATGATGACTAGTGAGGTGATTTGAGGGAGAGATTTGTCTCCTCATCACCTCTCTATACTGACCTGTGTGATGACTAGTGAGGTGATTTGAGGGAGAGATTTGTCACCTCTTCACCTGTCTATACTGACCTGAGTGATGACTAGTGAGGTGATTTGAGGGAGAGATTTGTCTCCTCATCACCTGTCTATACTGACCTGAGGGATGACTAGTGACATGATTTGAGGGAGAGTTTTGTCTGCTCATCACCTCTCTATACTGACTTGTGTGATGACTAGTGACATGATTTGAGGGAGAGATTTGTCACCTCATCACCTCTCTTTACTGACCTGATTGATGACTAGTGACGTGATTTGAGGGACAGCTTTGTTTCCTTATTACCTGTCTATACTGACCTGTGTGAGGACTAGTGAGGTGATTTGAGGGAGAGATTCGTCACCTCATCACCTCTCTATACTGACCTGAGTGATGACTAGTGACATGATTTGAGGGAGAGTTTTGTCGCCTCATCACCTCTCTATACTGACCTGTGTGATGACTAGTGATGTGATTTGAGGGAGAGTTTTGTCACCTCATCACCTCTCTATACTGACCTGTGTGATGACTAGTTACATGATTTGAGGGAGAGTTTTGTCTCCTCATCACCTGTCTATACTGACCTGTGTGATGACTAGTGATGTGATTTGAGGGACAGCTTTGTTTCCTCATCACCTCTCTATACTGACCTGTGTGATGACTAGTTACATGATTTGAGGGAGAGTTTTGTCTCCTCATCACCTGTCTATACTGACCTGTGTGATGACTAGTGATGTGATTTGAGGGAGAGATTTGTCTCCTCCTCCCCTCTCTATACTGACCTGTGTGATGACTAGTTACATGATTTGAGGGAGAGTTTTGTCTCCTCATCACCTCTTTATACTGACCTGAGGGATGACTAGTGACATGATTTGAGGGAGAGTTTTGTCTCCTCATCACCTCTCTATACTGACCTGAGTGATGACTAGTGATGTGATTTGAGGGAGGGTTTTGTTTCCTTATTACCTGTCTATACTGACCTGTGTGATGACTAGTGATGTGATTTGAGGCACAGCTTTGTTTCCTCATCACCTCTCTATACTGACCTGTGTGATGACTAGTGACATGATTTGAGGGAGAGTTTTGTCTCCTCATCACCTCTTTATACTGACCTGAGGGATGACTAGTGACATGATTTGAGGGAGAGATTTGTCACCTCATCACCTCTCTATACTGACCTGTGTGATGACGAGTGACATGATTTGAGGGAGAGTTTTGTCTCCTCATCTCCTCTTTATACTGACCTGAGGGATGACTAGTGACATGATTTGAGGGAGAGATTTGTCACCTCATCACCTCTCTATACTGACCTGTGTGATGACTAGTGTCATGATTTGAGGGAGAGTTTTGTCTCCTCATCACCTTTTTAAGGTGATTTGAGGGGGAGTTTTGTCTCCTCATCACCTCTCTATACTGACTTGTGTGATGACTAGTGACGTGATTTGGGGGAGAGCTTTGTCTCCTCATCACCTCTCTATACTGACCTGAGTGATGACTAGTGAGGTGATTTGAGGGAGAGATTTGTCACCTCTTCACCTCTCTATACTGACCTGTGTGATGACTAGTGACGTGATTTGAGGGAGAGATTTGTCTCCTCATCACCTCTCTATATACTGACCTGGGTGATGACTAGTGACGTGATTTAAGGGAGAGCTTTGTTTCCTCATCACCTCTCTATACTAACCTGTGTGATGACTAGTGAGGTGATTTGAGGGAGAGATTCGTCACCTCATCACCTCTCTATATTGACCTGAGTGATGACTAGTGACGTGATTTGAGGGACAGCTTTGTTTCCTTATTACCTGTCTATACTGACCTGTGTGATGACTAGTGACGTGATTTAAGGGAGAGCTTTGTCTCCTTATTACCTGTCTATACTGACCTGTGTGATGACTAGTGAGGTGATTTGAGGGAGAGCTTTGCCGCCATATCTTGAAGCTATACTGAAGGTAATCTGTGGCTCCTGTCAAAGATAAAACATTAGCAACTCATACAGAGCTATAGAATCAGACTGATTGACTTGATAAGGGACAATCATCTGAAAATATATATGTACGATAATTTTGTCCAGAAAACATGATATTAACAAAACTAGGAAAAATGTCTAATAGATAATTGTCTCAATAGTGAAGTTATATTTCGTAATTCAAACTAAAGATCTTCTTTTTTTTAGACCTAATAGCCATATAGTGTTGAAATTCATTCTTACTGATTTATTGATCAGATAAAAACTTGGCAAGTGATATCATGAGGACAACCAATTTATTTACTGTTTCACATTAGAATGCACCTCCAGACAAACATTTGCTACAATATATATACAAAGGGCAATAACTCTGCAAAATGTTGAGCACAAAACCCAATTCCAGTGTGTGACACTCCCATGAGGTAATTACTCACATGCAAAATTGGCAGCTGTAAGTGACAAGAGTATTTGAGCTCTGGACAAAGTGACATAACAGTGGACTGACAAATGACATGTAAATCTACAGCTCCCCCCCC